CAGGTTATTAGCTTTCAAACAAGCCTAAAATCACCTCAAACGGATGAAAACTCAAAAAGTTATGAATGTTTCAAAATCAGAGTTTGAAATTTTAGAACATCAAAATTTCATTTAATCATAACTTTTTGAATTTTGATGCAATTTGAATTTTATAAACAGATTTGAAATTAACATTTTTTCAGCTTTAAAATGAGTATAACCATGCCATAGGTAACAGGAAAAAATTGGGTCCCACAGCGATGTTTTAAAGGCGATAATTTGGGCCAAATTTCCAAGTGAATGCAAGGAGGTTGTGTTTAAACTAATTTTAAAGCTCTGAATCTCCTGAGAATCAAATTATCCAGATTTTCGGATTTCGAGGATCTTGAGATTCTAAGATTCTGAAATTCCAGAATTTTCAGACTTTTTGGTTTACTGAATTCTAGACTTTCTAATCTAATCAACTTTTTTTTTCTTTTTTTGACACCCATAAACATAGAAAAACCCATTTATACTAGTTTTGATTGGTCTATAAAAACAGAAATCGGCAATTTTCAGAATTCCAAAAAATCCAAAAAAATATTTGATTAAAAGTTTTTGATTGGAATTTTGAGATTCTGAGAGTCTGAGGTTCTGGAATTCAGCGATCGGAATTCTGGATTACTGTAGAATTTCTTGTAGTTTACAAATTTTTTATAGCTACCGTAGTTTTCGAGTTATGCGCCTTTAAAGTTGATGGCTCCCTTCTGTAGGGCGGGCTAACTTTAAAGGCGCATAACTCCAAAACTACAGTAGCTATTAAAAATCTGTAAACTGCAAAAAGGTGTGAAAGTTAATGCTGAGCAATTTCCAGTTTACCAATTTTTCGTAGCTACCGTAGTTTTCGAGTTATGCGCCTTTGAAGATGGCGCGCCAGGCAGGAAGACGTGGGACAACTTTAAAGGCGCAGATGAGGCATTTTTGTACCTAAGAAACTTCAGTCTGTTTGTTTTTCTAGTCACTTCTTCCACCAACTTTTTTTATAAATTATGAATCACCCTTTTCTCTGCGTCTCTCTCTCTCTCTCTCTCTCTCTCTCTCTCTCTCTCTCTCTCTCTCTCTCCCCCCCAGAACTCCCAACCAAAAAAGGCGGCTCTTTCAAAAGGAGCGGTTCATTCTCATTTTCAAATTCTCTCATTTTTCTCTGCGTCTCTTGGTTCCCCTCCCAACCAATCCGCCGCCATCCAAGCCCCGCCCCCTCCCCTCTCCTCTTTCAAATAGGCTCCGCCCACTTTTCGGGCGGGTCTCTCTCTCTCTCTCTTTTCTAAAGCACCCCATATCCCATACCACATTTCATGTCTGAGTACCTATTTTCGGCGGGGAGGGGGGTGATGATCTGTTTTTTAATTATTCTCCCAATTATTACTATTTTATTATTTTGTATCACTTCTCCCTAATTCTCTTTTCTTATTTCTCCCGATTTTCTAATCCAATTCATTCTTTATGGGTATGTGTGTATGTATTTCTTAATCAATTCGGACACTCTTAAATTTGACGATTATGGGAATTGACTCGCCCCGGGGCGGACAGCGAGCCGCCTAATGACCCGTTTTTATAGGGCCCTTAAATTGGGTCCGAATCGGAAAAAAAGCGGGAAATGAAAAAAAAAAACTAATTCTATAATTTTAATGGTATTGACTTAACAAAATAAGAAAATAAATCTTTTAATGGTATTAGCTTTAAGCTCCCTATCTACCTTTAATTGAATGACTCCCCCCTCTTCCGAACCGCCGACTTTGAGCATATATATCTCGGTTACTGTAAGAGATATCAAAAATTAGTTAACTGACAAAATGCTTATCATAATATTAGTAACATTTTATTAGTTGCACACTGTTTGATATCTGTTACAGGAACCGAGAAAAATTGAGTCAAAGTTAGCAGACCGGGTGTTTGCTACATTGACTTGATTAGGACATAACTCGGCTCAAAATTAGAATTTCTTCTTGAATCAAAAAATGAAATATAGAATTTGAAGAGCTCTACAAAAAAATATATAAATCAATTAAACATATCCACAGAGTTCTAAGCCACGGGCCGCCAGCCCTAAGCAGCACTTTTCGGCTTTTCCCCCCTACCTGTCAACCGGAGTGCCAAACCGGGACGCTTACTTGCCCGAGCATAACTCGACTCAAAATTAAAATTTCTTTTTGAATGAAAAAGTAAAATGTAGAACGTAAAATTCTCTACAAAATTATATATACTTCAACTTTACTTGAAATTTAGGTTTTGAAACAGAAGTCACCGGCGAATCATAAGCTGATTTAGGCGGCCTCTTTGTTTTTGGTCTCCTCGTTCAAAACCTCAATTTCTAAACTAATCAAATTTTATATAGTTATGTAGATCTTCAAAATGTCTACATATTACTTTTTGTTTAAACAAAAATCCTTATTTTGAGCCGAGTTATGGGCTTGCAGGTGAGCCGCCACCCGGTTTGGTGCCAGTTCAGACAAGAATGAGGGGAGAAGGAGCAGATTTTTGGCGCGAAATTCGAAAATCTCCGTTTTTCGTTGCGAAACTTTTCAAGTAGACTAAAAGAACTACAAAGACTACAAGCTGCTTAGAGTGGTAAATTTTCATAAAATTTGAAAAAAAAAAGCATTAAAAAAAATTTTAGCAAAAATTCTTATTTTCAAGTAATCTCAAAACCTGAAAATCGGGAAAAATAAGATTCTGAAGAAATGTCTAAAAACTTGGGATTCTCAAATCTGAAATTCGAACTTCTGAAGCTTCCAAAATCCAAGATTCTTAGATTCCAAGACTCTTGAATTCTTAGATTTTTGGATTTCTGTAATTTCTGAAAGTCCTATTTCAAAGGAATTTCTTGGCCCTGAAATTAGTATATTTTAGGAATAAAATAAAAGAAAAAGAAGAGCAAAAATGGAAAAAAAAGAAGAAATTTGTCGAAAAAAAAGGAAACTGCTCTCTGCCTCCCCTCGAATCGAAAATTTAGGGCAAATGAATGACATTTTCTTTTTGACGATGTGGTCTTCTTCTAAATCTGTGGTCCCCTTTTTTTCCTTTTTCACCAAATTTGTATTAGTTCAAAAAAAGTATTGAAAACATTTTCTCATAGACAATTGGTTTCGGAAAAAGGGTTTATTACTAAAATCGAAAACTTTAAGAATCTAGAATCGAAACATTTGAAAATAGAAACCTAGGAATTCTTAGAAGTCTAGAATTCAGAATCTCCAGATTCTGGAATTCGGAATTTAAAAAGCCTGATTCGAAAGTCTAGAAATAGAATTGAGGAATCTAGAAATCTAGAATTTGAAAATTCAGAATTTTCGCATCCAGGAGTCTAGAAATTCAGAATTCAGGATCCTGAAAATCAACGAATCAAGGAATCTAGAAAACTAAATTTTGAAAATTCAGCATTTTCGAATCCAGGAACTTCAGAGATCAAAAGTCTGAAATCCGAGAAAACCTAGAAATTGAAAAAAAAACATTTTTGGAAATTCTGAATTCCTCGATTTCAAAATTCCAAAATATAAAAATCCATATTCGGAAGATTCGGAATTCATAGAATCCCAAATCAACTATTGATTTATCAAAAAAATCCTAAGTCCAAAAAAATCAAAAATACAAAAATCAGAATTTAAAAAAATTAAGAAGTTGGAGTCCTTGGAATCCAGGAAAAACTGAAAATGCCTAAAAGTTTAGGGAAATTCAAAATTCTGGATTCAAAATTTAGAAATCAAGAGTTTCTGAACTTCTGAATCTAGGAATCTGAGAGTGCAGAATATCATTGTTTCCCAGAGTTTCTAAAATTCCAGAATCTCAGAAACTCGAAACCTCAGAATCTTGGATTTTCAGAATCCGAGAACATTGATAATCCTAGAATCTCAGAATCACAAAACTTTCAATTCTAAACTTCTGACTCTCCAGAATCTCACCTCCAAATCTCCCCTGAAAAAATCTGACCTTCTCTTTTTTCCCCATTCTCTCTCTCTCTATCCCTAGTCAATTCATTTTCCCTTTTCCGGCTATCCAGTCGCCTTGGCGCCCGTCGCTTTCTCTACGTCTCCCACTTCTTTACACTCTCTCCAATATTTTACACTTTCCCCTTCTTGTGCTCCACTTCTTGTGCTGCTCCCCAAAGTCAACTCCAATTTCCATAAAACCCATTATTTTTATAATTTGTGTCTCTTTTTCTTTTTCTCTCTCTCTCTCTTCCCTCCAGAAACCGGCTTTCTTCCAGGACACTCTCCGCTTCTTCCAATTGGTCCATCTAGGCTCCGCCCACCTGTTCAGTGGATTACGGTAGAAGACGACAACAATGAACACATCGTCCAGTGCATTCGAATTTGGCTCGTCGACGGCATCGTCGACGGCCACGTCGACAACGTCTTCACAACCAGAAGCCAATGATCATTTATCGGTAGGTTAATTAGGACCCTGGTTAGGATTAAGATTTTTCAAAAGTTTGAATTTCAGTTATCTCAATGAAAGAAGGGCACTTGAAAACTTTCCTATTGGCTTGAAATCCTGAATTCTGAAATTTCGCGATTCCGAAAACTGAAAAAAAGGATCCGGAGATTCAAAAAATAAACATTTCAGTAATTCTGAAATCCATAATTTTCAGGATCTTGGAATTCGAATTTTAGGAATTTCGAACTTTTGAAAAGCAGAATTCCGAGATTTTGGACGTTTCAGATTTCCACTTTTTGAGATTTTGAGATTCTGAATTCTGAAAATCTCAAGGTCTGCAATTGTAGGATTCTAGGATTTTGAGTCCTGGAATTCGAATTTTCTTAATTTTGGACTTTATCGGAATTCAAAAATTCGAAAATTTAGAACTTCAAAATTTTCACATTCTCAGGATTCTAGGATTCTTAGGGATTCCAGGATTCAGAATCTCTGAAAATCCAAATTTAGGAAATTTTCTGATTTTCAAACTTCTAAAACGAAAAGAAGGAAATGAAGAGCCAAAACTTTCCGAATTACCGGCTTCATTCTAAAAAATCTGGATTCCCTTATTTCTATTTTCCTGAAAATCCGGAAATTCGGAAATTTGAGACTTTCATAGTTATTTTTCCAATTTTTGATTTCAGATTTTCGTTGAAAGATTCCAGGATTTCCATTATTAGAGACAATTTTAATTACCCGGTCCTAATTTTTTGAGATTGTTAGATTCTTAGGGTCTTAACTTATTACATAATTACCCTCTTCTAATTCCAGAGACTTGCCGCCATGACTCAAGGAGTAGGAAAAGAAGATCCAGAACCCTCCTCCACTCCATCAGCAGAAGCCAGTCTCTACCCAGGTAGTCAGTGACTCCGTCCACTTTGACCCAATTTCTATAAAAACCCAATTTTCCAGTATCAGCAGCCTATATGCAGAGTTACGCAGGATGGCCACAAAATTACTCATATTTCGGTCAGCCGCTTGGTCCGGCGGCGTTCCCTGGTTGGCCACAGTGCTATCCCAACCCAGCGTGGTCCAACTATGGTGAGTTGTTCGGTCAGTTTTATTTTCACTTTTTTATAGCTTTTGAAATTTCCCATATTTTGTTAGTTTACTCTTTTTTGATAGCTAAATTGGTTCTTGAGATATGCGCCTTTAAATGTAGCACGCTGTGGCGCGCCGTCTTCAAAGGCGCATAACCCCTAAAGCAGTGAAGCTATCTAAATTTTGTCAATTGACAAAACGTGTAACATTTTATACTTTGCATTTTTGTAGTTAATTATTTTTTGGTAGCTTCCAAAGTGTTCGAGTTAGGTGCCTTTAAAGATAGTGCGCGCAAAAAATGTAAGGTACAGGGAGCGGACAACTTCAAAGGATAATAACTCAAAAAGCAGAACAGCTATCTGAATTTTGTCAACTAATAAAATGTGTAGAATATTATCATCTACATTATCGTTATTAATAATTTCTTGATAACCATTATGATTTTTAAGATATGCGCTTTGAAAGATCGAGCACGCTACGATACAGGGTGTGCCAACTTTAAAGGTGCATTACTCAAAAAGCAGAGAAGTTACTTAAATTTTGTAAAGTAATAAAAGTGTATAATTTTATGTTCAACATTTTTATAGTTTACTATTTTTGGATACCTCAATTATCTTTGAGATATAAGGTTTTAAACGTTACGCACCTAAAAACGGGCTAGCAGTCAAAGTTTTTTTTTTCACAACTGTAGAATATGTGTTTTTTGTAATTGTTGTTGTCTACAGTAAAATTATAAACTTTGATTAGCCATCAAAAGCTTTCCACCTTCTCTGCTTTTCGAGTTATGCTCTTATGCGCCTTTAAAGGCAGCGCGCCGTAGAGTCCCTTCCCTTTTCCTACATATGCTATTTTTAAAGACGCATATCTCGAAAACCAGTTTAGCTATCATAAAATTGTCAACTATTAAAGTGTAGAACATAAAATTTTACACATTTTTATAGTTAGCAAAAATTAATTAGCTGTTTTTCTACTTGAGTTATGCGTCTTTAAAGACGACGCGCCGTAGCTTTTTCGTTTTTCTGAGCGCGCTATCTTTAAAGGCGCATATCTCAAAAGCCAAGTTAGCTATTTAAAAAAGTAAACCATGAAAATGTAGAACATAAAATTTTACACATTTTGTTGGTTAACAAAATTTAGATACCTGTTTTAGTTTTTGAGATATACCGTTTACGAGTTAGTGCGCAAGCTTCACCCTGTTAAAAAGGTGTGCTAACTTTAACAATGCATATCTCAAGAACCAATTAGCTATAAAAATTGCAAACTGCAAAAATGTAGAGCATAACATTTTACACATTTTATTGCAAACAAAATTTTAATAGCACACTTGCTTTTTGAGTCTTTAAGTTGGCGCACATGCCTCTCTTCCTACTTTTAGGTATACGCTATCTTTAAAGGCGCATATCTCTAGAACCAATTTAGCTTTCAAATTATTCAAAGCTGATAAAATGTAGAGTAGAAAATTTTACACATTTTCCTAGTTAACAAAATTTAAATAGCTTGTTTGCTTTTCGAGGTATGCGCCTTTAAAGTTAGCGCACCTCCCTCTTCTCCTGTTTTTAGCTATGCTATCTTTAAAGACGCATATCTCCAGAACCAATTTAGCTATCAAAAAATCGCTAACTACAAAAATATAGAGCATCACATTTTACACATCTTAATATACAAATCAATTTATTTTTTCTTCAGCTTCATCAAAAAAGGGTCGTCAAACATATCAACGTTTCCAAACCTCCGTCCTCGAAGCCAAATTCCAACAGTCCTCCTACGTATCAAAAAAGCAACGAGAAGAGCTCCGGCTTCAGACACAACTCACAGATCGTCAAATCAAAATTTGGTTTCAAAATCGACGAATGAAGGCGAAAAAAGAGAAGCAGCGGGTTGATGATCACACGGAGCACACTCCTCTTCTGCCGGCAAATCCGCCAAAAGGAATGGGAATGGATTTGGATGATGATAAGAAATGGCAAATGGCTCATTGGCCACAAGCAGCTGGACACAATCCGTATGGTGTCGCTTATCCTGGGCTGTGTCCACCGTGAATTTGGAATTTGAGAATTTTTTGGGAATTTTCTTAAAGGATTTTGGAGAACTGAAGTTTTGAAGTCTGAAAATACTGAAAATTTTTGAGAATCCTGAAAAGGTAATACATCAGTTTCTTAATTTTTGAAAGCCCGAATTTATAGAATTCCAGAATTCTCAGAAATTCTTCTAGAACTTTTTTTTTCAGAACTCTGATTTTCAGATTCTGAAACTCTGAAAAATCTGAAATCCTGGAATTTTAGACTTTTTGAAACTCGATATTCTTGAATTTCTGGAACTTTCGTATAGCGAATTTTAAGGATTTTTAGAATTTTAAGAACCAAATTTTCTAATTTTTGGATTTTTTGGAATTTGGAGATTTTCGGAGTTTCGGATTCTGAGATTCTGAGATTCTGAAGCTCTGAAATTTTGAATTTTTGAATTGTCGAGATTCTGGAATTCTGAAATTCCAAAAAACATAAAATCCTGGAACTCGAATTTTCGAATTGTTGAATTTTCGAATTATTGAAATCCGAGATTCAGAAAACCCGAAGTTCAGAAATTCTGAAATTTTAAAACTCTGAAATTTCGAGATTCAGAATTTCAAAATTCTGAGATTCTGATAATCAGAGATTCTGAAATTCTGAAGTTCTGAAAAGTCAAAACGTTGAAATTCTAAAAAATCTAAAATTCGGGATTGCAGAATTCCGGGATTCTAAGATTGTTAAGTTCTGAAATTCGGAATTTCGCAGTCTAGCATCTCAGAATCTCGAAAAGGGGAAATTTGGGATTCTGAATTTCTTGAATGCTGAAATCCCGAATTTCTAAGAACTTCAGATTCTCAGATTCTCAGATTTCCAGATTCTCAGCTTCTGAAATTTTAAGATTCTGAAATTCGGAAATCCGGAAATTCTGAAATTTTGAATCACTGAAATTCTCCAAAACCCCAAAAAAAAAATTTCTCAAAAAAATTTTGATTTTTTCAATTTCAACCCCATTTTTCCTGAAATATAGTGCCTTCTTTTTTGTATACCTCTTCCAAACTTGTCTAGTTTTTTTTTCCATTTTTTCTTTTTCGAATTTCAAATTTCCCGCCTTATGAACTGATTCTGATAGGCTCCGCCCCTTTTCTTATTCTTACCCATTACGGGTTTTTTTTCCATTTTTTCATGAATTTTTTTGATTTTCTGCATTTTTTGACATGTCCTGTGAGACTACACGGTTCCCATTTTTCACCCAATTCATCGATTTTTTTTTTTGAATATTTTTTTTCGATTTTTCTAGAATTTTCTTTTGTGTGTGTGTGTGGTTTCTAGTCTTCTTCTTCTTCTTCTTCCCCCAACTTTGTTTCTGAAAAAATAATAACTCTGAAAAAATATTTTTTTGCTAACTCTGAATGAAAATCTGAATGAAAAGTCGTATATATTTGAGATTTTATTAGAATTTGCCAGAAAACTTTTCCAGGTACATGTAATCCAGGATTCTGAAAATATGAAATATTTCAACTTGAGGTCTTGAGGGGGTTTACTGTAGTGTGGCCTAGAAAATTGGAGTTTTGGAAAGCTAGGCCATCCTTTCGAATAGTTTTTACTGTGTTTCTAGTAGTTAGGGTACGGTAGTATGGCCTAGAAAATTAGAGTTTTGAAAGCTAGGCCACCATGAAAAGCTAGGCTATCCATCCAAACTAGGCCGTACATGATAAGAGCTGATTACTGTAGGTAGAAACCTCCAAATCGATGGCTGTGGCCTAGAAATTTTGTAATTTGAAATGCTAGGCCACCTAAAAGCTATGCGATTGTTAGGCAAAAGCTAGGCCAATAGTAAAACCTGGATATTTGGGTTACGGTAGGTCAACCTTTTTTTTAATTTGGATTACTGTAGGTCGGAATCCCCCAAAATGATGCATATGGCCTAGTTCTTTTTGAGCAGTATTATATGAAATTTTAAAATCCTGAATTTTTTTGGGATTTCTGAATTTCTGAATTTCTGAATTTCTGAATTTCTGAATTTCTGAATTTCTGAATTTCTGAATTTCTGAATTTCTGAATTTCTGAATTTCTGAATTTTTGAATCTGAATTTCTGGATTTCTGAATTGCTGAATTTCTGAATTTCCGAATTTCTGAATTTCTGAATTTCTGAATTTTTGAATCTGAATTTCTGGATTTCTGAATTGCTGAATTTCCGAATTTCTGAATTTCTGAATTTCTGAATTTCTGAATTTCTGAATTTCTGAATTTCTGAATTTCTGAATTTCTGAATTTCTGAATTTCTGAATTTCTGAATTTCTGAATTTCTGAATTTCTGAATTTCTGAATTTCTGAATTTCTGAATTTCTGAATTTCTGAATTTCTGAATTTCTGAATTTCTGAATTTCTGAATTTCTGAATTTCTGAATTTCTGAATTTCCGAATTTCTGAATTTCTGAATTTCTGAATTTCCGAATTTCTGAATTTCTGAATTTCTGAATTTTTGAATCTGAATTTCTTTATTTCTGAATTGCTGAATTTCCAGATTTCCAGGTTTTTTGAAACTCCCAAAATCCAAAACTTCGAAATTAAAAAAAAAAGTTCAGAACTTCCAAAAAAAGCTTTCAAAATTCATAAATATGAATTTACGAAACGATTACTGTAGTTTCATGTTTTGTGGAAATCCGGACACACAGAGAGACAGACAGACAAGAAGTGTAGACACAGCATTTTTCAAAAAATTATTTATTTTTTAAAATTCAATATTTGAATTTTTCGCCAAAGTAACCTTTCTGAAAAAATGTTCCAAAAAATTGGAGAGAAATGCAGCAATCCTGTAATGTAAAGCTTCTTTTCTCAAAGCTACAGTAACCATATAAGTTATGAAAAACCCAAAAAAAACTACGGTAATCTTCGAAATTTTCTTTTTTTTGGGAATCCTACACAGTTCAAGTTCTCAAAGTTGTCACCAGAGCTACAGTAACCTCACGGACAACTACAATAATCCTGAAATGTTAAGCATCTTTTTCAAAGCTACAGTAACCTTCTAAAGTTTTTTTTAAAATTTCAAAACATGAAGAAAAGTACGGTAATCCTGAAATCTTAAGCTTGTATTTTCAGGTTGCTTGAAGCAGTTTTAAATGCCTTTGCAAGCTTTAAAGTTAGCTACAGTAATTTTTTGAAATTAGTAGATTTAAAAATTGAAAAAAAAGAAAAACTACAGTAACCCAGAAAAGTTAAGCATCGTTTTGTGGATCTAGAAAAGAAGGAAAAGTAATGAATATATATTCTTTGGATGGGGACGGAAATGCATATGGGATTGGTTATGAGTCGATGTAAGTATGTATGTAAAGACAAAATAATGTGTTTGGAGAAATAGTATGGGGAAACGAGAAGGTGGTTAGAGAAACAGAGAAATTGAGGAATTGGTAAGGGTAGATGTGGCAGAAAATCAGAAAATCAGAAATTCAGAAAATTCAGAAATTCAGAAATTCAGAAATTCGGAAATTCAGAAATTCAGAAATTCAAAAATTCGCAAAATCAAAAATTCGCAAAATCAAAAAATCCGCCTACAGTTATCTAAATTTAAAAGTGGCAGACTCACTGTAACCCAAATACCGATGCCTAACTGTGGCCTAGCTCTTCAGGGTGGCCTAGAATTCCAAATTTCAAAATTTCTAGGCCATCTGTAAAATCATAAGCCACGAGCGTCTGAAACTACAGTAATCAGTTGTTACCATGAAATTGATGGCCTAACTTTCCACACCCACATTTTCTAGGTCATCCTTCCGTATTCTAACTACTAGAGCTACAGTAATTAATATGTTGAAGGATGGCCTAGCTTTTTAAGGTTGCCTAGCTATCCAAAATTCCGATTTTTTAGGCCACACTACAGTACCCTAACTACTAGAACTACACACAGGTAAAATGCGAACGGGTCCGTTACGGACGCTTCGCGTTCGCGCGCGGTTGAAATAGGAACCGCATACGGACCGCACGCGAACCGTTTTCAGTAAATAGCAGTACATTATTCGGATTGATCCGTATCCTGTCCGTTTGCGAGCTCCGTATCCGATCCGATTGCGAATCATGACCAAACGGATCCGTTTGCGAATCAAATGTTTTATTGAGTTCGCAAACGGATCCGTTTGGTCATGATTAGCAATCGGATCGGATACGGAGCTCGCAAACGGACAGGATACGGATCAATCCGAATAATGTATTGCTATTTACTAAAAACGGTTCGCACACGGTCCGTATGCGGTTCCTATTTCAACCGCGCGCGAACGCGGAGCGTCTGTAACGGATTGTTCACGAATCACCTGTGCAGGCACTACTATTTTGAAGGATGGCCTAGCTTTCCAAAATACCGAATTTCTAGGCCACCTTCTACCGTATCCCCTGAAGGAGGGGGACCATATGATATATATCTCTGCCTTCTTTTCCACCAAAAACCAAAAATAAATCTCCATTTCTCATCACCGAATTCCATTTATGTCTCCCCAGCGTCTGGTTTTCTTCCTCCCCGTCCTTCGGAAGCTCCAGAAGACGTGACGTCTTCTGAATACACATTCATACTGAATAAACTACTCGAAATTTTTTCTCTTTTCCTGACAGTTTTATGTGATCAGCAGGCAGGCGGGCAGAAGGAGGACGGGGACGGAATGGGCATCACATTTATTGGCCATCTCAAACACACACACACTTTTATGGGCGTAAATTTCGAAAATCGGAAACACTGGGATTATGCAGATTTTAAGGGGTTTTAGGGAGAGGATTTCGGCTTTTTTAAAAATCAAAAATTATGGATTTGGAGCCAAGTTACGCCCATTTTAAGTTAGGTGGCCGAGAAACCCAAAACTAGGCCACAATTTTAGAAATGAGTTAAATAACTAAAAAGTAAGGGTTGCTAAAATTATAGTCCAGTTTTAAGATTTCAAAAATAATGATTTTGAAGCAAGTTACGAGCCCTTGAGGTAGGTGGCCTAGAAACCCAAATTGATAGGAAACTAGGCCATTCAACTTTAATATAGTTGTACGACGAGAAAATACAAGTTTTAAAGTTTCTAAATCAATTTTCAGGTTATAAAAATACCGGCTTGAAGCTGAGTGACACCCATTTGAAGGTTGATGGCCTAGACATCCAAAACTAGGCCATCAACGTCAAATGGCTGTAACTCGCTTCAAAAGTAAGATTTTTGCAAATCTGAAAACACTTACAAACTTCTAGAAATCTGAACTTTTTGAGAATATACAATATGGCCTAGCTTTTGCAAAATCTAGGCCACCAACTTTCAAGCATTGTTTAGAAGCAAGTTACAACCATTGGAAGTTGGTGGTCTAGAATTCTAAACTTTGCAGAAGTTAGGCTATTGAAATTATATATTTTGGAAAGCTCCTGTTTTCAGGAGTAAAATTTTTATTTCTGAGCGATTTACGCCTATTTGAAATTGGAGGCCTAGAATCCCAAACTTCGAAAAAGTTAGACCTTGATTGATATATATTGTTGAAAAGCTCTTGTTTTGTGAAATTCACATCAATTTTTAGATTTTGAATATCTTCATTTTGAAGCGAGTTACAGCCAGTTGAACTTGATGGCCTAGTTTTGGATTTCTAGGCCACCAACCTTAAATAGGTCATAACTCTTAAGATTGTTATTTTTCCAATCTAAAAACTGCGCTGTAGTGCTGACAACTTGCTCTTTTGATTCATGTTACTTGTGACCTCGTTTCCAAAATTTGGTTTCCTAGGCCACCAAAGTTCAAAGGCTCGGATCTTGGTTCTAAGTTGGTATTTTTGAAAAATTCGAAATTAGTGGAAAAGCGCGAAATTTGAAAATTTCAAACTATTTGAAATAGTATATTTTTTCAGAATGTTCCCTTTGGAATTTCTAGTTTCCTGTTGACCTACATATTTTTTCTTCGTCATCTCTTCTTTTTTGTGTTCCCAAACCCATAAAAATGTCTCAATTCTCTCACTCTCTCACCAAAAAACTACCGTAACCCGGTTTTTCTTTTTCCCCACCGAAAATCCCATTCCGAACAACCTAAACGGGCGGAGCCTAGAGAAATAGTGTGTAGAATGAAGAGAGTAGGTTAGACACAAGGGAATGAGAAAACACGGTGTAAGTCGCATCCCATTAGGCACGCACATTACGAGCATTTCGAAATGTACAGAGAGAAAAAGAGAGAAATAGTGTGGAGAAGTGAGAGAGCGGGAAAAGAAATAGTTTTGTAGTTTAGGAAGACGAAGAAAAACGAAGACTGGATGGGAAGACAAACGCGGTGTTTGTGTGGGGAAAGGGACTGAAAATTTCGTTTTGGATGAATTTTGGAGGTCGAAAATTTTGATAACTCGTAATATGAGTTTTATGGTTGTCTTTAAAACTGAATTTCGAGTCGATTGGTGTAAAAATCAAATCCAAAACTTTTCAATTTCAATAGTTACGGTAACTATAAGCTCTCCTTTAAGGTTGCCCACTTTGACTCAAGCTATCTCGGTTACGGGAAGAGATATCAAAAAGTGGTTAACTAAAAAACATTTCTGATAATATGATAAACATTTCATCTGTTGACAACTTTTAAATATCTGTTCCAGGAACTGAGATAAATTGGATCAAAGTAGAGGGACTCTTTGACGTGCCACCTCTCTCAACTTTCACTCAAGCCATCTCGGTTATGGTAGAATATAACAAAAGCTAATCAATTAACAAAATGTTGATCATTTTATGGTTAACATTTTATCAATTAATCAATTTTTGATATCTTTTACCGTAACCAAGAAAAAATAGGTCAAAGTAGAGAGACCCTATTATGCCAGACCAAATGGTCCCCCAACTTTGACTCTATTTATCTCGGTTACGGTAAGAGATATCTAAAAGTAGTCAACTCATAAAATGTTTTTGATAAGATGATAAACATTTTATTAGTTTACCACTTTTTGATATCGGTTATATGAACTGAGATAAATTGGGTCAAAGTTAGACGATTATTCTATTTTCAGACTACCTTTTCAAAGGCTATGATGCATACAAAAACAGCCGGGGTACAGTATGAAATAATTTTTTTTCCTTCTCGAATTTCAACAAAAATTATTAAGTGTCATAAGTAAAACTTTATGCTCTATCGAATCGTATAAAAATCAATAATGTAGGTTAAAAATGAGGCGAGTTATGACTACTTTTTCAGCACCGACTTTTTTTTTCGAAATTTCAAAAGTTTAGGTTCTGCAAAAATTGCTCATAATTTGCTCAATTTGCATCTTGGAGCAATAATTTTGGTACGGTATAAATTGACATAAAATTTTGCATAAAATGATTTTAAGATAGTTTCAGACAATTTTTGAAAATTCGTTCAAAAAATCCAAATCTTCTAAACAATTTTGAAAACCAAAAAAAAGATCTTCTCTGAAAAAAAAAATGCTCATAACTCGCTTCATTTTTGAGCTGGGTTGTTTATTTTTTTACCATTCGAAAGAACATAACATTTTACATCTAAGTCATTTAATTAAAAAATTGGAAGACAAAATTTTAGCCTTGTTCAAGCCGAATTTCTGAGGAAGATACCTAAAAAAGAAGCCAGTTTGAGAAATTGCTCATAACTCGCTTCATTTTTAAGCTAGGTTATTGATTTTTATACCATTCGAAAGAACGGAAAATTTTACGTAAGACACTTTCAAATTACTTAGTTTCCTAATTATCCTAAATGAGATAATTAGGGTTAATTGCTTAGCTAGCGAAGTCGATTTTTATCATCAACCAACCGTAAAAGCTCTTATACGTTAACCCAATTATCTCGGTTCTTTTAGAAGATATCAGGAAGTAATCAGCTAATAAAATGTTTATCATATTATCACCAATATTTTGTTAGTTGACCACTTTTCAATATCTTTTATAGAAACCTAGATAATTAACTTTGAAGAGCACATATAGGATGGGCTTCTATTAGATTACGGTAATCGGTATTGTACCAGAGCTTTGAGCACTAGGTACTTTCGAATACGCTGATTTTAAGAATCTTGCTCATTTTTCTCCAAAATTTCCATTTTTTTTCCAGAAAAACCAATTTTCAAGGTCATGGCTCCTGGACCCTCTCTCTCGCACCTTTTAATTGACACTTTTTGTATACTTGGCGCCAAAAAGTCGGGGGTACCTTGTTTTCCAATTTCCATTTTCCATGTACCTCTCTCTTACGCCTAATGGCGTCGAAAAACAAGGTCGGACACCATTTCGGAGTGTTAGAATTGGATTTGGTTGGAGAAGGAGGAGGTGGGGGAGAGGTAGTTGATTGTTTGTATGTCCCCTCCAATTCTGGACAGACATGAATCTAGGAGATTTGGGGACTGACAGAACCGAGAGTTTGAAGTTTTGAATCCAGTTTTCAGATTTCAAAAATCGGGATTTTGAGCTGAGTTACAGCCAAAACAGCCAATTGAAGACTGATGGCCTAGAAATCCCATAAAATCTAGAATGCTTAGAGGGTCTGTCAATTTTGTTCAAGTATTCAAAGCATTTGCTAACTTAAAGGTTTTCAAACCCAGCTTTTTGCTTCAAAAAATGCCAATTCAACTCCAAGAAACGACCCTTAAAATTTGGTGGCCTAGAAATCCAAAATTTTCAAAAAGTTAGGCCACAAAATGTATAAAAAGAAAGCTCTTGTTTTGAGAAGCTGATAACATTTTTCAGACTTAAAAAAGGTGAACTTTGAGCTGAGTTACACCAATTTTAAGGTTGGTGGCCTAGAAACCCAAAACTAGGACTGCATTTTCAAATTGTTGTAACTCACTTCAAAATGAAGATTTTTCAAATCTACAACTTGGTATGAACTCTTTGAAACAAGAGCTATTAGTTGAATTTACTAGATTTCCAAAATATTGATTTCTAGGTCACCGACTGATGGCCTAGAAATCCAAAACTCGGCCAGCAAGTTCAAACGGCTGTAACTCGTTTCAAAATCAAGACATTGAAAGTCTGTAAACTGGTATGAACTCCATGAAACCAAAGCTTTTTATTGATATACAGTGGCCTAACTTTTACAAAATTTTGACTTTTTAGGCCACCAAACTTTAAATGGCTGTAACTCGCTTCAAAATGAAGGTTTTTTAAGTCTGAAAACTGTCACGAATAGCCTAAATTTTTGGATTTCTAGGCCACCTTTTAAGTAGAGTAAATAAAAGTGTTTTTTTCCAATTATTTGTACCTATAGAAAATTACAGGCTTTCTCTTTTCTTTTTTCCTGGAAACGAATGAAAAAAAAGAAAATTGGAGGTTAGGAAACATAGAGAAAGGGGTGGTTGTGTTGCAATGGAAACCTAGTCTATGATCAAAAAATTGGGAATTAATTTTACTTTCTTTTTTGAAAAAAAAAATTTCAAAATTGGAGAGGAAAGGGGTTGAAAATTTGGGTTTGCGCCAGTTTTAGGCTTGCGACATTTTTAAAGGCGCACAACTCAAAACGTACGGTAGCTATCACACAATTGTTAACTAGATAATTGTGTAGAATTTTATGCTCTACAATTTTGTAGTTCATAGTTTTATTATAGCTTACTTCGTTTTTGAGATATGCGCCTTTAAAGTTAACGCGCTCCTCACCGTATCGTGCGCTGGGGCGCGCGCCGACTTTAAAGGCGCATAAGTCAAGAAGTACAGTAGTTAGATAAAATTTTGAACTTCAAAAATATGTGGAATGTTATGCTTAGCAATTTCCAGCTTTCCATAACAAGCTAGGTACCGCAGTTTTTGAGTTATGCGCCTTTAAAGATGGTTCGCACTTCTATGCAACCGTAAAATACTGCAACCAACGTTAAAGACGTCATATCTACAGAATCCGGGAAGCTAGAACAAATTGAATTTTACCAAAATGTGTGAATTTTTATGCTCTACATTTTTGTAATTAACAAAATTACTGTAGCTAGTCTACTAACTAAGTTGTGCGCTTTTTAAGTTGAACCGCCCTTTTTTGCGGACACCAACGTTGAAGATGTCATATCTCCAGAATCCGAAGAGCTAGGAAAAATGGAAAATATCAAAAATGTAGAGCTTGAAATTTCATAATTTTTTTCGTTGACAATTTCTAGATAGCTATCTTGATTTTTGAGATATGCGTCTTTAAAGTTAGCATTGTTAATTTTGGAGCCGAAAATTTGAAATTTTTTTCAGAATCTTCCAGAAGTCGTGTCCTATCCGGAATCGCTTCAGAAAGAGAAGAGGAAAAACGTATACAAATGCTTCAGAAGTGAGAGAGATGAAAGTGCCTTCGGGGTCCCCCCGTCGTCCCCCTGTTGCGTGCCCCATACCATCTATCCTATTTTATTGTATTACCCCATTCTCCGCTCCCCTGGATTCTCCTTTTCTTCATCGTCGTCTTCTTCTTCTTCGCTATCCTCCATCGTCTGACGTCTCCACAATCAGCGTGCTCTCCGCGCCTCATTACGCCTCCTCTCCTACAGGTGCCTCATCTAATGGGGCACTTTCGGCGGGGCTCTTCCTAGGCTCCGCCCACTTTTTTGAAAAGGCATAGTAGTTTTAGAGAACCATGCCTTTTATTCATCATAAATATTTAAGAACAAATGGGAAGGGGAAATTGGGGAATCATAGGGATTCACCAGAGATTCAAGAAATAACAACAGAGAAACAAGTGATTATGGGGTGATAATGATGTATATTAGGAAGGGAAAAAACGAATTGAAGGACCAAAAAAACCAAAAAAATAAGAGAAATGGAGACAAAACAGGGATACTAAACGGGTGGGAAAATCCGAGTATTAGGAGCAAAAAAGAATTGGATATGGGTGAAAATGGGGGCAATTTATCTTCTCCAGTTCGCACTATCTGCGTTTCCAGCGTTGTTGGCTCCAGAATTGCGATTCGGTCCGTCACGACGAGGTCCATCACGGCGAGGGATGTCCCTTGGTCCATCTCGTGGTGGCAGGTCCCTTGGTGGAAGATCACGACCTCCTGGTCCTGGTGGTCCACGGAGTCCTGGAGCACGATCCGGTGGAGACGTCACGTTGGCTCCTCGTTGTGGTGCTGGTTGCTCATCACCGCCACCGGCTGGCTTGTTACGAAGCGCTGGTGGGATGAATCGGCGTGGACCGTCAGCCTTTGGTGCTTCGGCGGCGGGGGCTGGAATTTACAGATTTTCAGAATTTTTAGAGCCAAATTTCGGTCATTTTGGGTTACTTTGACAGAACTTCTGGAAATTTTTCAGAGTTTCAGCTCTGTTTTGGAGTTTTGAGAGCCAAAATTCGGAGCCTAATTTTGAATTTTTATGATCGTTTTGCAGTTTAAAAAAAAAGAGCATTGCCAATTTCGAAGAGGTCACATCTTCAGAATCAGAAGAGCTAGAAAAAAATGTTAAACTGGAAAAATATAGCAATTGAAGTTTCCAATATTTTTCTAGTTGACGATTTCTTGATAGTTGATTCAGTTTTTGAGATAAAACGATTATCAATAGAGCGCATTTTCGGACTCAATTTCCTCACAGAAGACGTTCTCCTGGAAACGATTCTTACCTGGCTGATTCTCGGTCTTTGGTGGCGACACTACGGTCTTCGTGACCGCTCCACGCTCCCACTTCTGATCAGTATCAGCCTTGGACATCGGACGAGGTGGACCATCACGACGGAAGTCATCGTTACGGCGGAAGTCATCGCTGCGGCGGAATTCGTCATTGCGACGGTGGTCATCACTACGGCGAGGTCCATCGTCACGACGGAAATCATCACTACGGCGGTCATCAGGCTTACGAGTTGGCTGAGCGGAACTTCTCCAGGAGGAGTCGGTGTCAGCTTTGGAGGAAGGCATCTCACGGAATGGCTCACGAGGTGGTCCATCACGCATCGGACGAGGCTCTCTTTGAGGCATGGAATCACGTGGTGGTGCATTTCTTCTCCAATCGCTGTCTTGCATCGCTGCGGAGTTCTCCATCTCGCGACGCTGTCCACGTTCTCCGTGTGGACGACGTTGACTGTCGATGACGGCTTGACGAGCACGTTCTTCTTCTTCACGACGCTTACGCTCCTCGGCGATTTTAGCTTGCATGGCTGCCTCCTTGCGCTCCTTCTTACGCTTCTCAGCACGTTCAGCGAGACGACTGTTACGAACAGCTTCCAGCTTAACCTCCCAGTCGGAGATCTTCTTCTCGAGGTTCTCTTGGTTCTCAACTTTGACAGTCTCGACCCAATCGAGAGTGGCCTCGCGAACTTGATCCCACATGGACCAGAGCTTGACGTGGTTCTCATGAGCGGCACTGAAAAAATCAATTAATTAGAACTTCACCTAACTGGATAGCTAACTCACATCTCCTTCTCGATTCTCTTATTCTCATACTCCTCGTGCAACCTCGGTGCCTCGTTCAATCTCATGTGCATCACCGCACGACGCTCATTCATCTCTTCCAAGTGAAGAGCGCGGATGTGATGGTCGAACTTCTTCTCCTGTTGCTGCAAACGGCGTTGAGTCTCGGCTCTCTCCTTATCCAGACGCTCTCTCTGCTCACGAAGCACTTGCTCTGGGTCCATATCACGGAATTGTTCGAGTCCCTTCTCCTTGATAATGGCTTGGTAGATGACGTTCTGTTGCATTTTGTGAAGTTGATCCCGCTTGATCTTCTTCTGGATCTCCTCTTGCTCAGCTTGCTTTCTCTTTCTCTCACTTTCCTTGTTCTGCTCATCGAGACGCTTCATCTCCTCAGCTCTAGCCGCTTCCTCACGTTTAGCTTGTTCGGTAGCGGCAGTTGCAGCCTTTTCAGCCTTGACACGCTCCCAGTTCTCCTTGTAGTTCTCCAACATCTTCTTGCGTCTGTGGATTCGCTCGATTTCAGTGACACGATTCTTTTCGTAACTGGTGACATGGTTCTCGATCTTTTTGACGATCTCCTTGCGTCGTTTCTCGGAATCGAGTCCTTCGACAAGAACGCGAAGTCTGGTGTACATGGCCTCGAGATGATTACGAACGCCTTCAACTCCCAATTGAGTGTCATCTCCGGTGAATCCTTCGTTGTTGTCGTACTCGTCGACTCCTCCTGCCAACGTGGCATCTGAAGATCCGAAGCGAACGCAATCAGCACGATGGTCGAGTTGAGCCTTGACGATTCTGTGCTTGCTAGCTTCCACCACAAGACGCTCCAAAGCCAAATCGTGGTAGAATGGAATGATCTTGCGAATTCTCTCCCAGCTGATAGCCTCGTAGATCACAGAAACTTGCTTCAACGCCTTGACTGCAGCAACTGCTTGAAGCGATTCCACGTATTGTAAGTGATCTGGACGGGTGATGGTGTCAAGAACAGATTGTACATCTTTAGCAACTCTCAATGGAGAGAAATTGCTTTCGAGAAGCTTGAAAAGATCCTTGGCGACTTGTCCAGCAGCCTCTGGTACTCCGATACGTGCAGCCTCCTTGAGGATTCCAACCTTCGTTGGAGCAATCGGAAGACGGAGCAAGTTGGAGAGAAGTCTCATGTTGGCGACATGCTGCTCTTCGATGTCGAGATTGCGGGAAAGATCCGATGGCAAATCGGATCCTTCTGGGATGGAAAGAGTGGCAAGAAGCACGCGGGTAGCTTGCTCTTGAGCCTCCTCCTGTGTGAACGATTTCTTCATGTCCTTGTAGATGATGAACTTCTGAAGAAGAGCGGCAGCGTGGAACAGACGATTTCCGGCCTTCCAGAAGACAAGGGCCAGCTTATCGTAGTAGTTGACGTAGCTGGATGGCTTCACGGTTCTCTTATCTTTGTCCTTGGAGAGCTGCATCATTCCGTGGACGTCTTCAGCGCTTCTGAAAGTTTAGGAACTACAGTACCGGTCAATAAGACATGCAAATACGTATTTTTCAGTTAATTTCCGGCATTTTTAGGGCACCAGAGCTCGGCTGTCGAGTGCCCGATCATTTTGAAAACTTCGGGAAGTGTAAAACATGCCTAGATTGAGAGTTTTGCATTCACAGAATTTCTTGGAAATTCCTTTTATTTGGCGATTATTTTAAGACACTATTTTATTGCCCATTTGTACTGAAAACTGACCAAAAAGGGCGCCTTCCAGAAATAGAAAAAAAGGAATTTTCCGAAAATCCTGTGAAAGAAAAATTTTCAAATTGGAAGCTTGACAGCCGAGCTCCAGACCCCTGGAAAAATAGACAAAAACGACTGAAATTCAACAAAAACCCGCTTTTAGCTTACTTGTAGGCTTCTTGCCAGAGCTCCATCTGAATAGCAGTGTCCAACTGGACAAGACGGGTGTCTTGCATAAGAGTCAAAGATTCTGGAGAGGTGAGTTTCACACGGAACGAGTTCACATTCGGCGCATACTGATGCTTTTGAATTTGATTCAAATGCATTCTGAGAAGATCGCAGAGTTTACGGAACTCAGTTCTCCGTTGGTATCTCAAACAGAAGCTGAACGAGTGCCGACTGATGGTGTGGTAGAGCTGCTCGACTTGGGCGTTGTTTCTGAGCAATTCCAAGCAGTTACGGTAGGAATCCCAGAGGAAACGGAGCCATGGAGCTAAAACTGTGCGGTCCATACGGTCCTGAGCGGCTGCTCCAGAGACTACAGCGAGGAGAAGACGTTCTGGAACGTCTCCTTGATCGAGGTCCCCGATTTCTTCCACCTTCTCGATAGACTGCTTTTGTGCATCTTCGGTACGCTGCTCGGCGAGTTTTAAGAAGTGCTCGACAACGGTCTCGAGGGATTTTACGTTGATCTGAGAAGATTTATTATGATTTTAGCTTTACAAATTCCTTTTGAACCTGCTGTGTGAGTGCTTTGTACTGGAACAAGGCGTCCTTCGCCAGATGCTGCTTCTTCAGGTCCACACACAATTCCATGTGCTTGATCATGATTTGCTCGTGAACAGTGGTCCATTGTTTGTGTCGTCTGGCTTTGATGGTGTCGTGAAGAGTGTCCAGCGCGTCGGACTCCTTGCCGACTTGAATGAGTTCTTCGGCGCGCTTCAAAGCGGCCTCGGGCTTTTGAAAATAGTTTGGAGCCATGATTACCGTGCGAAGTGAGACTTGGAGTCTGAAAAAAGCTGTTTTTAGAAACTACAAATTAAAATTATTAGGTCGCGAAATAAAAGAGAAATATACAAATTATCGGTTTCGAAACAAACCAAAAAAGAAAATCTTCGATCTTTTAAGATTTTTCAGAAAAAATCTAAAAATTCTGACTAGAAAAATCGAAAAAAATCAGTAGAAAACTGCCAAATCACTCCATAACACATATTCAGTTCAAGAATCATTTTTCCCTCTGAAAATCGATATTTCACCACTAATTTTGACGATTTTTAGGTCAAAATGTAGCTAAACACAGGCTTTATCCATTTTTACAAAACATTTGACTCAAAAATCGATAATTAAGCTGAAAATACGCAAAAACTCGCTGAAAATCCACTGAATCCGTTGGAAAATATTGAGAAAAATTAAAAACGCGGCGAGACCCGCCGCTTGCGAAACTCTATGCGCCTTTAAACAAGAGGGCAGTTTGGGGGTTTCGCATAGTTTTGTCGACGGTTTTGAAGGATAAAAGGGTGTTTTTAAAAGAAAATTTGTAGAAAAAAGAGAAAATATGAAAAAATAACATTTATTATGTAATAAAAATTATTATTTAACATAAAAATGCAGGAGAAAAGGCGCTCTATTGATAAAATACAAAAAAAAAAGAGAAGAGAAGGAGGATTTGGGTTCTTGTAAAGCAATGGAATCAGTTTTTAACATTCTTCTGATATTAAAAATGCTAATCTCAGGACCTTTAAAGTATTACACTCATTTTTAGGTTATGGCCTAGAAACCCAAATTTGCAAAATCTAAGCCATCACATATATGGAATGAAAGCTCATGTTCCGAAAATTATTATGCACTTTTTAAACTTCGAAAATATTAGTTTTGAAGCGAGTTGTGACCAATTGAAGTTGGTGGCCTAGAAAAAAAACATAGGCCGCAGATTTTTTCTGGCTATAACTCAGCTCAATGTTCACATTTTTTGAATTTGAAACTTGATATAAGAAGTTCAACACAAGCGCTTTCCAACGGTATAGATCATGGTCTAACTTTCTGGAATTTAAGATTTCTAAGTCACCAAACTTTAAACTGCCGATATCCACAATTTGGAAAGCTAGACCATGGCGTACATGAATCAAAAAACCAACATTTTTTTTTACATAAAACCAGTTTTCAAAGTTCAAAAACGTTGATTCTGAAGCGAGTTATGTGCATTGGACTATGGTGGCCTAGAAAACCAAATTTTGGAAAAAATAGGTCACGATGTATTTGGTTGCAAAGAAAATGTATTGAGGGTTTTGAATCGATTTTTAAAGTTTGAAAATGTCCATTTTGAGCCGAGTTATACACATTTTAAGGTTGGCGGCCTAGAAATCCAAAACTAGGCCACCAAATTGAAATGACTGTAACTCGCTTCAAAGTTGAGGTTTTTTTAATCTGAAAAATGATTTGGGAGCTCCGGAACAAGAGCTTTCTAATCATGTTGACCATGACCTAATTTTCGCAAAATTTGGTTTTCTAGGCCACCATTTTCAAATTGCTGTAACTTGGCTCAAAATTGATATTTTTGAAATCTAAAAACTGAATTGGAATTTAGAAAAGCCTGAGCTTCATGGCCTAGCTATCTAATTTTCTAGGCCACACTTTTAAATGTCTCAAAAAAGTTTTCTCCATTTTTGGCCATTATTTTCAGGAATTTTGCTTCAATTTGCAGGAAAAACTTCAATTTGCAAAAACTGCTTTATAAAAAAAATAAATAAGATAATTAGGTCACCAGGGAATCGAACTCTGGACCTCTCGCTTCAAAACGGGGTGCGTTAGCCAGTAGGCTACGCGTGGAACTGAGGAGACGCGCTCGACAAGGCGTACACAACACTGCGCATTTTGAGAGCTGAAAGGAAGAGAAAAGAGGGCAGACAAAAAACATTGAATTCTTTATTCACCACTAAAAAGTTCACAATACTCATCAGCATTAACTTTTCGATTATCGGCCTCCTCCTGCATCACAAACCACTCGCTTTTAGTTCCAGAAAGGAATTCCCGGTTGTCGGAAGCTCTTCTATCCAAATTATCATCGATGAAGAATAATGGAAGCATGCCGAGAGTTAAACCGAGCCAAAGGCCGGAGAGCTGAAAATGGGTCACTGTAGAATTTGACTAAAAATGTTTCATTTTACTTTAGCTGCGAAAGATGCATGCTGATACTCTGGTGTGTTCATTTGATCGTTGGATAAAACTGGTTTTCTGAAAAGAATTTGAATTTCCCGGGCTACAGTACTCGCAGCCTACTTGAATCCAAGAATATCTGTCCATCTATCAGCTGGCAATTGAAGGAAAAGGTTGCAAATAATGTTTGCAACAGCTGCCGATGCCAACATTGACATGCCGTTGTACACAGAGAAGATACTGAAACGTGCTGCGTCTCTCGCCTCCTCTCTCTTTCGCCCGCGCGCACATAAAGGGAATCGAGGGTAAGAAGAAAATGTGGCCGCGTGGCGCAATGGATAACGCGTCTGCCTACGGAGCAGAAGATTGTAGGTTCGAATCCTGCCGTGGTCGAAATCTCTTTTACACTTCTTGAAAGCTTTTTTGCTCACTTACTTATTGATACTTTCACCTCCAATAATAATTAAAGCCTCATCCAAGCAACCATAGACAAACATTGGGATAAAATTTATGTACCACACTTTGACAAGGTCCTCGTGATCTATAGTCACATCTACCACCTTTTTATGCTCGTTGTATTGATCGGCAGCTAAAATTTCGGGATTTTGGGGTGAGGAGGGGCAGGGCTACAGTAACCCACTAATTTTTCTCAACGCATCGAACAACAATTTCCGCTCCCCTGGCTGTAATTCCTTAGAAAAAAGTTTGGCGTCCGCATCATTTTGAATGCCATTGGGTAGCGAAGAATTTTTGTTGAAAAATGGGCGGAGCCTAAATATCTATTTTTTATTTTTGAAAATTTATCAATAGAGCGCATTTTCTCTTACTTCTCAATTTTGACCTTCTGTACAGTAGTCTTGGTACGTCTTCTGAAACTGTTGGTACCGCGGGAAAAGTGTCTTATCAGTTGATTTGATAACATTTTTGCTATTGTTCTAAAAAATTGAATTTTTAGGACATCCAGACACACAGACAGACATACCGATTCATCTCGAGTAAGAAAAATTAACTGAAATTTTGAACTTTTATCAAGTTCGATGTGTACTCAGCACGTGGAAAGGGTTTTTTTGAGAGCTACAGTAACCCAATTGTTGGCTACAGTAACCCTAAAGCGCTGTGTGGCGCCTCAAAATGAGGCCGCGCGCTCACGGCTCCATAACTGGCTTCAGAAGAGAGATAGAGCCTTCTGATCTTCAGAATACGTACTGTCCCAGAATCCTGAAGACGTCCCGAGCCACTAAAACTTCCATCCATCATAACTCGGTTCATTTTTACGCTAGAGAGTTTATCTTACCACCATTCGAACTCTCTCTTCAAGCTTAACACAATGAAATTTATTTCAGCCCATAAAGTAGGCGGCACATATGGGTTACTTGGTGTCCTGTGGTGGAAGCCACCTCGGCAGATTTTTTGGAGGTTCTTACACGGCTTAATTTTGAAAAGCTCGGCAGCTAGGCGTATTATACGTAAAATCATGAGAGGAATCTAATGGTATCGGTTGCCGAGCAAGGAATGCTCCAAAAAATAACTTTTTCTTCAACTTCTCAAATCTTTCAAAAGCATGCAGATGCCTATTTCTACGAAAATCGATAGATAAACAAGCCCGTTTCCCTCTTCTGAAGATTGGTTATGTCGCTATTCGAGAAGTTTTGAGTACTCTAGACCCAATTGATTAGTGAGTTGGTTTTTCGATTTTTCATAGTTCACCATAGGAGAAAACCTAATCTTCTCTTTTTTCAGTACCAACTTCTCAAAAGCTTCAAAAGCATGCAGACGCCTCTCGACCACCAAGAAACCTTATAAAGTTGAGATCAGTGTTACTACCCCATGATTAGGTTTCGCAATTGTCCTATTGACTATAAGTTTAGTTGGACTGACGATAGCTGCAAAAGTCAAACTCGGGTGTTTGGAGGCTGGTTACAAAGATGATACTCTTTACAAATATTCTCGAAATCCTTTGGATGCTTTTAAAGAATTCCAAGAATTCTATTTGTATGTCAGAAGCTTGATGGGTGTAGAAATCGATTCTGTAGTGTTGTGGGATTTCAAAGGAGATAACAGGGAAATTGTTGAATGGTTGAGATCGAATTCCCGGGAGTTCCCAGCTTTATCCATTGACGGAAGAGATCAAAATACAAGAATAATTGCAATATTTATTGGATAATATAAAGTACACAGACTGCTTGAAAATCTATATGACGACATTTGAAAAACTTCTATTCAAAATTCCGGAGACCCTTAAGGAACTACATATTATCCAAGCATCATGGATTACGTTGGATTATATGATGCGTTTGAAAATGAGCAGACTTGTTCTATATTACATACCTCTGACCAATCAAGATATGAACGTATTTTATAAAAGTTGGATAAAATGAAATCTCAACAAAACTTGGAAAAGTACGAAATAAGTCTCAACAATCCAAAAGATTTCATTGCGATTGGTCTGAGAGATATCCCATACCGAATGGGGCCACCAATACCCGGACCGTGAGTTTATTATACAAGATTTTAACAAGCGTTATAAATTTTTTTATCTTTTCCAGTTCATCGGGCTGGGTTACATTGCAAGGAAGCTTCGAGGTGACACGGAAAGATGGAGTGACCGCGTCAATATGTGTCTATTATCGTTACTCTATGGAATTCGTTTTTATTATGCGTACTGGGCTTAACAAATAAATCCAATCTTCTCTACTTCAATTACCGTAACCATTCTAATAGCACGCCACCCTTGACTTTTCTGTAAAAGATATCAAAAAGCTGTCAACTAATAAAATGTTTCTGATATCATGATAAACATTTTGTTAGTTGACAAGTTTCTGATATCTTTTACAGGAACCGAGATATATGCCCTGACGTTCTATTAGAGTGTTTACGATAAGTGTCTTCATAAAGAGTTTTTATCTGATATTTTGATATGAGAATGTTGTTTTTGTGATTTGCTTCGGAGCGTGTTTGCATTTTTTTGATCTAGAAGAGAAAATAAGACCATGTATTTTATTTTGTTTGAACTCGTGAACAAAAAATTGTACAAATCAATGAATGGACAGAGAATGAGTGAAACGATAGCGTTGACAATGGTAACAAATGGAAACAACGAAATGTGGAAAAATACGAGAAAGGCGGCAGAAAAGGCATAATGATTGGGACGTGTAAATATATATATATATATATATATATATGACGATACTGAAAAGATAATGTTAGGTTATGGGAATCACAAATTTCAAAAAAAAAGTTCTTTCTATTCACTACTAACTTCAGAATCTCAATATTTCTGAATTTTCAAAAATTACGGCAGAAAATTTTCACTTCTCATTGTCTTTTGATTGTTCTTTTTGATTTTGGTCATATATTTCACTCTTTATGAAAAAAAAAATTGTGGAAATTGTTGGGCATTGGCTGAAAGGCATTAGTTGTTTTGAATTTTTGAGTCTCGAAATTTCTAGAACGCGGGGCGAAGCTTTTTCAAATTTTCAAGAATGAAAAAATTCTCCCCTAAAACTAGAAATCTTGTTTCGGTGAAGAGACGCAGAACATTTCGGTGAAGAGACGCAGACAACGAGATGGCTGAGGATCAAACGTTTGATCCTCAGCCATCAATTCGGCTACGGCCACGCCCCTTTATCAATAAAGCGCATCTGCATAGCTAGTTGAACAGTGCGACGGAATTTCACAAACGAAACTGCTCATTTCGGTGGAGCGCCATTTTTTGTTTGTATTATCACATACATAACGAGAAAATTTCTGTGATATCGACAAGAAATATACGGAAAAAACATTAAAAACAATTGGAATTGGTTTTTTTTTCATTTTTTCGATCAAATGATACTTTGTTTCGGAAAATCGACCATCGGCACAATCTTAAAAATTTCTCAATAGAAAAAAAAACAGGGTGTTGCAACCTAAGCCTCGAATTTCAAACAAAAAAGCGAAATAATCTGAAAAATCCAATCAAAAAGTCTTTAAATTCCCAAATATTAGCAAATTTTACACTTTTTTCACTTCAAAATTTTCAGAATATTCCGTTTTTTGTTCTATATTTTAGGCTTAGGCTAAAACACCTTTTTACGACAAGAAGTTTCATTCTAAGCCTTTGTATGAACAAAAAACACGAAACATTCTGAACATTTTCAGGGAAAAAGCGAAAAAATACAGGTGGGCGGGATTGCGCTCTACCGAAACGAGCAGTTTCGTTTGTGAAATTCCGTCGCTGTCTATCACAGCTGCCTGAAAAAATAAAGGTTGAGAGGCAGAGAGAAACTGTCTGCGTCTCCATCTAAAATGTGCTATTCAGGTTCGCCGCTTCGAGATTCCTAGGAAATTCTGAAATTTTGAAGTTCTGAAATTCTGAAATCCTGAAATTCGGAAGTTCACATATTCTCAGTTTCTGAAGTTCCGAAATTCTCAGATTCCGAAATACTGAAATTCCAAACATCTGAAATTCTAAGAATTCTGAGATTTTCAAGCTCTGAAATGCAGGAATTCAGAAACTCCTTCAAAAAATTGTACCCCCGAATCACAAGCGTTGTACCCCTGTATGAAATGGGTTGTACCTGGTAGTATGAGAGACACATTGAAAAAAAGTAGTATAAGAGACAGTGGTAGTAAAAGAGACTCGGTAGTATAAGAGAAAAGTAGTATAAGAGATGGTTTATAAGAGAATTTGCCGAACATTTTTGCAGTCTGATACGGTAGGAATCTCGAAGCGGCGAACCTGAATAGCACATTTTAGATGGAGACGCAGACAGTTTCTCTCTGCCTCTCAACCTTTATTTTTTCAGGCAGCTGTGATAGACAGCGACGGAATTTCACAAACGAAACTGCTCGTTTCGGTAGAGCGCAATCCCGCCCACCTGTATTTTTTCGCTTTTTCCCTGAAAATGTTCAGAATGTTTCGTGTTTTTTGTTCATACAAAGGCTTAGAATGAAACTTCTTGTCGTAAAAAGGTGTTTTAGCCTAAGCCTAAAATATAGAACAAAAAACGGAATATTCTGAAAATTTTGAAGTGAAAAAAGTGTAAAATTTGCTAATATTTGGGAATTTAAAGACTTTTTGATTGGATTTTTCAGATTATTTCGCTTTTTTGTTTGAAATTCGAGGCTTAGGTTGCAACACCCTGTTTTTTTTTCTATTGAGAAATTTTTAAGATTGTGCCGATGGTCGATTTTCCGAAACAAAGTATCATTTGATCGAAAAAATGAAAAAAAAACCAATTCCAATTGTTTTTAATGTTTTTTCCGTATATTTCTTGTCGATATCACAGAAATTTTCTCGTTATGTATGTGATAATACAAACAAAAAATGGCGCTCCACCGAAATGAGCAGTTTCGTTTGTGAAATTCCGTCGCACTGTTCAACTAGCTATGCAGATGCGCTTTATTGATAAAGGGGCGTGGCCGTAGCCGAATTGATGGCTGAGGATCAAACGTTTGATCCTCAGCCATCTCGTTGTCTGCGTCTCTTCACCGAAATGTTCTGCGTCTCTTCACCGAAACAAGATTTCTAGTTTTAGGGGAGAATTTTTTCATTCTTGAAAATTTGAAAAAGCTTCGCCCCGCCCCCTTATCAATAGAGCGAGCTTGCAAAGATAGAAAAACAAACCCTGTGCCGTCGCTGTTCCGAAAATTTCAAAAATTCTGAAAATTCGCACAGATTGTCGAAAAATCAGACAAAAGTTAGTTTATTTCGCTAGAGAAAAATTTTTTATTATCAAAAACTTTAATTTTTCATCCAAAAACCACTTTTTGATAAGATTTACCAAAAATCTGAAAATCTGAAAATTCAAAATTCGTGCAAATTGTGGGGAAATTGTTGAAAATTCATTCTATTGATACTAAAAATTAATATTAACGAGAAATTTTTGGCTTTGTCTGGAAAAAAGGGATGTAATTTTAAAAAAATTTTTTCGAAAATTGGAATTTTTCGGAAAACTCGAAAAAGCCCACGATATGAACACTGACAATGTTTAGATGATAGTTTTATCGAGAAAAAATCATTAAAAACCATTTTAGGCGTTGGGATACTGTAGCTGTCGGGGGTTTTCGAATTTTCGAAAAATTGCATTTTTCAACGAAAAAATTCGAAACTTTCGATGTTTTATCAACAATTTCTACAGAATTTTGTTGTTTTTGATATTCAAAGTGATCAGCGAAACGTTTTGTTCATAGATGTTCTGAAATTGTCGACTTTTTGATATTTCGAAAAGTGACAAAAATTCCGAAAACTTCAAAAATTGCCGGAAAATCAAGGGAAAAAATAGCTTATTCGCAAGAGAATACTTTTTTTATTTATGAAAACACTAGTTTAACATCCGAAAATATTAATTTTTCAGTTTTCGATAATTTTTTTTCAAGTCTGAAAATTCTGAAAATTCGCGCAGATTGTCGAGAAATCAAGGAAAAGTCAGCTTTTTTGGCTAGAGAAAAATATTTGTTATCAAAAACTCCGATTTTTTCCTGCGAAAATCACTTTTTGATAAGATTCGACGAAAAATCTGAAAAATCTGAGAATCTGAAATTCGTGCAAATTGTTGGGGAATCTGTTGAAAACTCAATCTCTTGGTACAAAAATCAATATTATCAAGAAAATGTGGACTTTCTCTAAAAAAAAGTGATGTAATTCAAAAAATTAATTTTTCGAAAAAAAAAAATTTTCGATTTTTTTCAATTTTTCGGAAAACTCGAAAAAGTCCACAATATGAACACTGACAATATTTAGATGATAGTTTTAAAATTTTTGAATTTTTTACATACTGTCGACTGCGTTGCGTGCGCGTCGCGGTTAATATGCAAAATTTGAATGATCCTGTAATTTTGGATGCGGTGCGTGCGCGTCGCGGTCGCGTGGTTAGAATTTCGAAATTCTTACTGTCGGCTGCGTTGCGTGCGCGTCGCGGTGTGCGTGCGCAAACCCGATTTTCGAAAAATTTCGAATTCTCCGAATTTCCGATTTTCGAAAAAATTTGATTTTTTTTTCAAGTTTTTCCGGAATGTGATCTGAAAATTCCAGATTTTCTAGGTGCGTTGCGTGCGCGTCGCGGTAGCATACAACTTTGCGAACGCGCTCTATCGCATGTTGCGCGCGAAACCTAATTTCGAAATTTTTCGAAAACATTCGATTTGTTGGGTCAAAAAACATTTTTTTGCTTTTTTTTCAAAATTTTTGAAATTTTGGGGCATATCCAAATTTTCAGATTTCCGGAAAAATCGATTTTTTATCGATTTTCGAGCCCATGTGCTACCAAGGTGTTCCTTTAGGCCTCCACCCTCCCAGTTGTTTTCTCATAGTGACCATGCGCGCGACGCGTACGCGTCGCGGCCGTTGTTCTCTCGTCGTCTGTCGTCTGCCCCTTGCCTGCGGCTACTCGGTACTTCTCTGCGTCTCTTCGCGCCGCTCGTCTCTCTTCCTGTCAAGGGCTTTGTGTATAGGGGAGCGAGGGGGGCAGTGGCCGCGGCCTGGCGCAAAAAGTAGCGCTCTTTTGAATTTGTATGCTGCGCTCATGTTTTTGAGACAGTTTGAAAGACTACAAACTACAAGTTCTGAATTTCAGAATCTGAAAAAGGATACTGTAGTGCTATTGTAGAGCGTAGTAGGCTACAAACTACAAAATTTTGTCATCCTTCTTGAGGTCACCTTGCAAACTTTGCAGTGCGCCGCGCGCGACGTGGTCGCGTCGCGGCTGTAGGCACTCTCGTTGTCGGGCACCCTCTAGGCTATTCAGAGAAAATGTAGTTTTTTATAGATTTCTCAGTGGAGCGTGAATGCTCAAAATCCTAAGAATGCATGAAAAAATCGTGCGCAGCTTGCAATTTAGGCTCCGCCCACTTTTCTCAGACAAACTACAGTTTTTGTTACGGTAGGTTACGGTGGGCGGACTACTACTACCGTGACCAGGCTATTGTAGTCTGCCTACCGTAGCCCACATCAATTTTGATTAATACGATGATTAGTGACACAAACTACAAACTACAGTTTTCGTAGTTTGTAGTCAATGAGTGTTCTTTAATCGGTAGCCTTGTTAGACTACCGTAGTCCGCCTACCGTAACCCATATCAGTTTTGATTGATTAGTCACAAAGACTAAAGTTTTTGTAGTTTGTAGTCTAGGAGTGCTCTTGAATCGGTGGTGTAGTCTGCCTACCGTGGTCCGCCTAGCGTAACCAGCCTACTGTAGTCCTACTACTGTAACCCACATCTGTTTTGAATTATAAGTCATTAAGACTACAAACTACAAAAAGTGTAGTTTGTAGTCTGTCATTGAGCTCTGATGGTACGGTAGCGATGGTGAGGCTACTACTGTAGTCAACCTATCGTAAACTGCCTACCATAGTTTGCCTACCATAACCACAAGTTACAGTATGCTGACCCCTACTGTAGTCCCCCTACCGTAACCATAAACGCTTTCAAATCCCTTCCGCAAGTTGTCGTCATATCTAATGCATTGAAGTCCGCAAACACCTCATCAATCTAGAACATTCCTCCCGCCTTCCCCCTGTAGGTGTCTGCCACCCTCTTCATTCTGTGTACTCTCTCGCTTTTTGCGCTAAACACGCTCCGCCGAAGACAAAAGGCCTTCAAATTTTTCGCTGGGGGTTTAGCGCATTTTTGTTGAATTTTCAAATTTTTTGAATTCCCTCCAATTTTACCGAAATAAAAAAAAAACATTTTCAAATTTTTATATTTTTTAGGTCTCCAAAAATGGCGACCGAGGAAGACTACGAGCTATTTCTAAAGCTCAATAATGAGCCGCTAGTGCCAAAAGAGGAGTTGCCGGATGAGCCGGAAGAGGTAACACTACAAACTACAACTCTAACTACAAACTACAATTTTAGTACCAACAAGCAACACGATCTGGGTCGTCAGAAGCTGGTGTTGGACCAGAAGAACCCAGGGAGAAGAAGCAGGAGGAGGAGGAAGAGGAGGAGGAGATGCATCTACCAACGGGATTAGCGGATATGGGGGCGGAGCTTGCTAAAGCTGAAGTCAAGGCTGAAAAAGAGGCCGAACGATGGCACGGCATTCTGCAGAATGGGCCGCCGGCGAAACGGCGAAAAGGCGGAGCAACTTCGAAGAGGAGCACGACGAGGAGAAGTGAAGAATTTGAGAGAAGGTAGGCTGAAAATAGCCTTGAAATGGACCAAAATGAGCCAAAATAGACTTAAAATAAACTAAAATAGGATTAAAAATGGTCAAAAATAGGCATAAAATAACATAAACTGGTCTAAAACAGGCATAAATAGGTCTAAAATAGCCTAAAAATGGTCAAAATAAGCTTAAAATAACCGAACAATGGACTCAAAATAATAAACATAGGCTAAAAGTGGCTTAAAAGGCTCAAATTTGAATTTGGCGCCATTTTTTTGGGTGTTTAGTGTCCGAAAATCGATTTTTTGACGCTTAAAAACTATTTTTTTCAGCCAAAATTCAACTTTTTTTTTTCAAATTTTTAGGTGAAAATTTTGAATTTCGCGCGCTTTTTTCATGTGAAAATTCAAATTTTCACGTGAATTTTTCTGAATTTTTCACGCGAAAATTCAGAAAAATTAAAAAATTTTCGCTTTTTTTTTTCGCTTCTGACCACGTGGAAATTCACATTTTTTCACTTTTTTTTCGTCTCCCAAAAATTTCAAATTATGACCTACTTTTCCTCAGAAAAAGCATGGAAAATTCACCGATTTTCGATGTTGAATCAGCCGAATTTAAAGCCGGAAAGGCGCGTTTTATGGACGAATTCCATGGCGCTTTGAAAACGACGGTAATTAGGCTGAAAATGGGCTGGAAATGGTCCAGAATAGGCTTAAAAGGGTCAAAAATAAGCAAAAATAAGCTTAAAATAGGCTTAACTTGTCTAAAAATAGCCAAAAAATGCCTCAAAATGGTCCAAAACCCGCCAGAATAAATAAGACCCAAAACCTAAATAAGACCCAAAACTAAATGCTAAATAAGACCCAAAACCCACTAGAATCCTTATAATCGAAATTTGTGTCTTTCCTTACTCATTTTTCGGCGATTTCTGGGTGGAAAATAAGAATCGAAGCGAAAAAAAAGCAGAGTGTTACTTTCCAGAAATTCCCCTTTTTCTATGGGATTTCTGGTCTTAGACACTCGGACATTTCAAAAAATTCTGAAAATTCTGAAAAATTTCAAATTCTAAAAATTCGAAATCGCCTATTTTCGCCCTATTTTTGACCATTTTTAGTGTATTTCAAGTCTATTTTCAGCCTATGTCGCCAATTTTGAACTATTTTAGGCCTATTTTCGACCATTTTTAGCCTATTTTTGACCATTTCAAGCTTATTTTGGACCATTTTCAGTCTATTTTAAGCTCATTCTTGACCTTTTTAAGCCTATTTTAGACTATTTTAAGCGTTCAAAATACAAATTTTGGCTCTAAAATACCAAATTTAGGGTTAAAATTTTTAAATTTTCGCTCTAAAAATAGCGAGTTTAGATTGGAAAATTCGAAATTTTGGCTTAAAGATTGGCTCTAAAATTACGAAAATTTGTGCTATGACAATACTGATTTTCGGCTCTAAAAATACCAAATTTAGGCCTAAAAATATGGAAATTTGGCTTCAAAAATACGAAATTTAACCGCGAAAATACGGTAATTCGGCTTTAAAAGTGTCGAATTTTCGCTTAAAAATACTGATTTTGACTTTTAAAATATGGAAATTCAGCAAAAATCCATCGAAAACAGTCCGAAAATCACGGAAAATGAGTCAGAAATTAGTCAATTCTGATGATTTTAAGCGAATTTTCAGGATTTTTCGTAATTTTTCAGGACTAAAAATAGGATTTTGGGGTTCCTAGATAGCCAGAAATTCCAATTTCATACCTTCAAACCCCAATTTTGCCCATTTTCCAGAGAAGAAGAGACACCCAAAGCCCCTCTGACCACATTCGGCCACTCATCTCGCCCGCGTCGCTCCGTAAACTACGCGAGCATCGAGCGAGGCGACGAAGCTCAAGCTCAATCGCTAGTCACAGACTTCCACCCTGGCAAAAAGCGGGTCAAACGGACCAGAGATGAGTTGGACGAGAATTATGTGGAAGGAGAGGACCCAGACGCCAGCACTTCGAACTCAAGACGAAAGAAACGACAAGTGGGACCAACGACATCAGCAGGGGCCTCATATGGAACACCCAGACAGGCGTGGCCAGGAACCCTATCTACGACAAGGGTGGTTGTGGAAAAAAGCGCTGTTGAGGAGTACATGGAGCTGGTGCCCAAACCAACGGACGACCGAGTTGCTGAGCACTTGAGAGCCATCGGAATGAAATGGGAGACGTCGCCGCCGGTGTTGAGGGCTTCTGGAGGATTCAGAAAGTTTATAAGTTGGCTATCCGATGCGGCGGTCGTGGAGTTGATGCGAGTTTTTTTTTTTGGGGGGGGGGGGTTATACCAATTTTAAATTGATGGCCTAGAAATCCAAATTTAGTGAAAACTAGGTCATGGTGTACATGGCTACAAAGGGCTTAGTTTCAGAGGCCAGAAACAGGTTTTAGATTCCGAAAATGTCCATTTTGAGCCGAGTAATACCCATTTTAAGGTTGGTGGCCTAGAAATCCAAAACTAGGCCACATTCATAACTTGGCTCAAAATCAATATTTTTGAAATCTAAAAACTGTTCCTGAACTCTCTGAACATGCTTTTTGTGACTATGTACACCATGGCCTAGTTTTCCTACATTTTGGTTTTCTAGGCCACCACCGAAAATCACCTAGGCCATAATGTACATGTTACAAAGAACATGTTTTGAGAGTTTTGAATCAGGTTTCACATTTCGAAAATGTCGTTTTTGAACCAAGTTATGGGCATCTGAAGCTTGGCGGCCTAGAAATCCAAAACTAGGCCATTTTCATAACTTGGCTCAATATCAACATTTTTGAAATCTAAAAACTGTTCCTCAACCCTCTAAACATGCTCTTTGAGACTATGTACATCATGGCCTAGTTTTCTCGAAATTTGGTTTTCTAGGCCACCAACCTTAAAATGGCTGTAAATTGCTTCAAAATCGACATTTTTGAGTTCTGAAAACTGAGTTTGTACCATCGAATTCTGCTCTTCAGACCCCAATACACCATGGCCTAGGTTTCTCGCAATTTGGTTTTCTAGGCCACTAATCTTAAAATGATTATAGCTCGCTTCAAAATGAATGTTTTTTTTTCAGCCGAATCGTGGAGAAACGATGTCATTCGATTGTCACTGCCGAACCCCTCCTCACCACTCTTCGTCACGTCTACAACTCGATGCCGTGGGAATACAAAAGAGATTGGGAATACGCCGCGAGGATGGACGTTTTTGAGTCGCGCGCTTTTGTGACGGACGTGCCTATGCCGTTGTCCGAGATTCTGGTGACGGATCCAACGAAGGTAGGTTTTGAGCTTGTTGGCCTAGAAACCCAAAAAAAAACTAGGCCATGTGAGAGTTCAGAATCAGTTTTCAGAGTTTGAAAATGTCAATTTTGAAGCCAGTTATGCCCTTTTTTTTGAAGCCAGTTATGCCTAGAAATCCAACATTTGGGAAAACTGTACATTGTTCCAAAGAGCATGTTTTGAGAGTTTAGAATCAGGTTTCAGATTGGAAAAATATTGATTTTGAGCCGAGTTATGTCCATTTTAGTGTGGTGGCCTAGAAATCCAAAATTAGGCCGCTTTCATAACTCGGCTCAAAATCAATATTTTTGAAAGCTGAAACCTGATTTGGAATTCCCAATTCATGCTCTTTGAAACCATGTCCTTTAGAACCACACTATGGCCTAGATTTCCGGAATTTTGGTTTTCTAGGCCACCAACCTTAAAATCAGTGTAACTTAGGTCAAAATGAAGGTTTTTGAAATCTGAAACATGATTCTAAACTCTAAAATCATGCACTTTCGAACCATGCATACCATGGCCGAGTTTTCGGTTTCCTAGGCCACCATTCAGCTAAACTCGAAAATTTGCAATTTTTTCCAGGACCCCCCACCTCTCCCCATCCAAGGTGAAGTCCGAGCCAACTGCTGTTCTCTCCAACCCGTCCTCAGCGATATGGTCCACTCCATAGCCCACTTCCTAGAACACCATGACATTGTGCACGTCTTCGGATGCGACTTCTGTCTGAAAGGCTTCCCGACAAAGTATGATTTGACGAAACACGAGTGCAAAGACTTTGCCACGCATATGTACGGATTGATTTGCAAACAGGAGACCCTAACACTGGAGGCCGCCTATTTCTACCTGTGCTGCTCCCAATGTGGCCTTTGGTTGACTGTAAAACCCGCGGAAACTGGAGGATCCAAGGGGTGGAGCTACTTTGCGACTGCAATCAAAAATCACTCGTGCAGACCCCTTGTTCCTGTGGTCGTCTTTTTCCGAAAATCGCTGGAAAGTGAGCGGAAGGGAATGAGACTGTCTTTTACTATGGTGACTTCGCTGGATATTGGATTCCCTCTGAGTTGTCAGGAGTGTGAGACGGAGGAGTTTAAGAGTGTCGCAGAAGCTGAGCAACACTTTAAGGAGAAGCACGAGAAGACGTGGGATTGTACGACGTGTTCGATGACGTTTGGAACCGAGTTTATGTATAGGTGCGTTCGAAATAGGTCAAGAATAGTCCAAAATAGGCTGAAAATCGTCTGAAAATAGTCCAAAATGGCCCAAAATAAGCTAAAAATTGGTTTAAAATAGCCTAATAATGATCAAACTGGTCATAAAAATCATCCAAAATAGGCTGAAAACGACCTAAAAATGGCCTAAATAGTCTAAAATGGTTCTAAAATGGTCCAGAATAGGCTAAAATAAGCTAGAAATGGTCTAGAAATGGGCTTAAAATAGGCTTAAAATGGTCCAAAAAGAGGCTTAAAATGGTCCGAAAATAGGCTTAAAATGGTCCAAAAAAGACTTTATTTGGTGTAAAATAAGCTTAAATCGTCCAAACTGGTCCAAAACGCCCGAAAAAATGGACTAAAATGACTTAAAAACGGTCCAAAATAGGCTTAAAATGATTCCAACTGGTCCAGAATTCTCGAAAAAATGGACTAAAATGACCTAAAAATGGTCCAGAACATGCGGAAAACGCCTCGAAACGACCAAAAATGGCCCGAAAAAGTCAAAATTTAGTTCTAAAAAGTTAGGAAATTGACCGTTTTCGGCCTATTTTTGACTATTTTGGGCCATTTTGAAGCTAAAAATGGCCCAAAATAAGCCTAATTTATGCTAAATAAGACCCAAAACCCACTAGAATCCTTATAATCGAAATTTGAGTCTTTCCATGCTCATTTTTCGTCGATTTCTAAGTGGAAAATAAAGAAGCGAAGCGAAAAAAAAGCAGAGTGTTACTTTCCAGAATTTCCCCCCTTTTCAATGGAATTCCTGGTCTTAGACACTCGGACATTTCTCTCTTATAGAAGGGCACCTCTAATAGAAGGGCCCTCCTAGAAGAACCGACGTTTCTAATACATATTTTAAGGTAGCTGAAAATCTGAAAATCTTGCAGACACCACAAACTCCAGCACATCTCCCAAACGGCTCTCTTCTCCAACTACCTCTACAACACGGCGACATTCCACCCGCCAGCAGATTCTGGACGCGCCCCTCATGTCGGATTCAAGTCTGAAATTCCAGCCATCGGAGGATTCGTCGGCGCTGAAATTGAGGGTTTAGAAGTCGTTGGACAGAAGGATATGGAATATGTGACCCCTCATGAGAACACAATCCGCAGGAAGATGCTCAGATGGAAGAGGACGAAGAGCAGCAAGAAGGAGAATCGGGAAAATGGCGAATCGTCGAGTGAGGAGGAGTTTCAGAAGGCGTTGAAAGAGCAGGATGAGGAGATGACGTCGTCGTCAGGAGGCACCTCGGATTCAGAAGACTCAGAGGAGAAGGATCCAGAGCCAACGAAGAAGAAGAAGATGAAACCCAAAAATATCAAAATTCGGGGAGATCTGGGCTACGAACATATTGATAAAAATGAGATTTTTGAAAAATCCGAATCCGAAAAAGAAGCCAGAAGACTTCTAGATCGCCTTCTAGGAGTCAACGTCTTCAAGACCCATGAACGTCTTCTAGCTCCAGATGAAGCTTTGGAGATACTGAAAGATGCCAAGCCGGTGGAGCTACCCACTCAAAAGTGCTCATTGGCGGATGATATTGCTATTTGTACGAGCAAGACGGTGATGTTGCCACTATCGAATTGTATTGATCCGCTGAAGGATATGCTGCTGGTTAATAAGATGTGAGTTTTTTGGGATTTTTCGAAGAGGGCTTAGAAAATGCAAAAGTTAGGCCACGGTTTTCTAATTTCGAAGATTTGGAGGTGCTATGTTGATTTTGAGCCAAGTTATGGCTCCTTGAAGTTGATGGCCTATACAAATTAGCTTCGCAAAAGTTAGGCCAGGATTTCCTAGACTTGAGGCAACTTTCCGCTTTCAAAAATACGGGTTTTGAGCCAAGTTACGGCTAATTTAAAATTGATGGCCTAGAAAACCAAAATTTGGGGAAAATTAGGCCATGGTGTACATGGCTTCAAAGATCATGTTTTGAGGATTCTGAATCAGTTTTTAGATTTCGAAAATGTTGATTTTCAACCAAGTTATGCCCATTTTAATGTTGGTGGCCTAGAAACCCAAAACTCGGCCGCTTTCATAACTAGGCTCAAAATGAAGATTTTTGAAATTTGAAAACTGATTTTATTTTCCCAAATCATGCTCTTCAGATATATCATAACCTAGTTTTCTTAGTTTTGAGTTTCTAGGCCACCAAACTAAACTTCCCATATTTCCAGCTACATCTACTGTCCGAAATGCGAAGCACTCATCGGCACCGACATCAAATCGCACTGCACCACTTGCCAAGTCCCCGAAGAAGACGTCATCGAGGTGTTCCACGCCGCCGCTGGCCCACACGCCGGCATCCGATGCATCTACCCCGAGTGTCCGATTCATGTGTGCTCCATCATTGCTCTACGAACTCATCTGAACACTCATCACGACAAGAAAGTCAATCTTCCACTGGCTCCGAAACATAAAGAGGGATCGTTCGAAGCCGATCGCTACGATCGATCGTTGATGACAATGGCGAAGAGTTTTGAGGCGATGCAAAAGGATACGAGGAGTTTTCTGGCGAGAATGACGGATATTGATTGTCAGCTACCGTTTTCGGGATTGCTAGAGTCTAGGATGCAGCCAGTTGTAGTACAACCATCACCAACAGCAGGCCTACCAGGACGCCCCCTGTACCAGAAGCCTCCACACCACAGAGCCAACCATGCCAACTATCCAGCACGCCCTGTAATCCCCACAGCACTGATCAGGAACCCTATGCTCAATCAAGCCAGGGTAAAGCCCTACAAGATCCCAAGAACATCCAGATGGTACATTTGTTTCTGGTGTGAAGCGTCCATGGACACGTTGGAAGGCTTTACGGATCATCTGAACACCCTTCACGTTCATACCTGTGGAGAATGCGGGAAATCGTTCTCAAAGCAGAATTTCCGACGCCTTCACATGTGTAGCCATCAATTCACGGCACCCCGCCCACCAGGAACGGCTTTCAACGGATTCTGTCCGATTTGTATGGAGCTACACAGTGCTGATGCGATTTATGGGCATATTCTGAGGCATCACTTTCAGCACGTGGAGTATATTCAAAGTACAGGAGAAATGCTGCCCAATATCAAGGATTTGGGGTATCGGCCGGTGCTTCTGGATAGTCATATTGGACGAAGAGTGGCCCAGAATCAATTCAGAGGTTCCCCAAATCCCACAAATCCCACATCAATGCATCAAATCCTCCATGGAGAGCTCAGGATGAAGCAAATCATCATTGGAACGCCGACCCATGGAGTGGACCTTCCACAGATCTATACCAAGGACATTCCCCTCAATTCTGTGCCCTTCTTCCCGCCGGAAATACGAAATGTGGACACGCGACTCATGTGCTACCTTTGTGAGCTCACCTTTGGCAACGTCGACGAGCTTGTGGAGCATTTGGAGGAGCATCCGGAGAAATGGGCGCGTTGTCCGTTTTGTGAGCAAGAGGTCGATGGACATTTCGATTTGCAGAAGCATTTGCTGACACGACATGTGAAGAAGATCTCGATGACGAATGTGAGTACTGTCATACGATAGAAAAACCGAGGGGCTTCAAAGTGACACTATTTGAGAAGCTATACCTTGTCTATGAGCCAAGTTCTGCGCATTTTGAAATCGATGGCCTAGAAAATATGATTTTGCGAAAGTTAGGCCAGGCTCACAGACAAGATACTACTTTTTAAATAACGTCGTTTTATAGCTCTTCAATTACCAAGAAAAATCGTGTATTCAAATTTCTAGATTCCGAATTTTGAGCCGAGATACACCAATTTGTAACATGATGGCCTAGAAATCCAAATTTCGAGAAGACTAGGCCACGATGTACATGGTTGCAAAGAGCACATTTTGAGGGCTCAAAATCAGTTTTTAGGGTTTGAAAATATCGATTTTGAGCCGAGTTATGAGCATTTTAAAATTGGTGGCCTAGAAAACCAAAACTAGGCCACATTTGTCGAAAATTGAAATGCTCATAACTCGCTTCAAAATCGATATTTTTGAAATCTGAAAACTGCTTCTAAAATCTAGAATCATGCTCTTTAGAACCATGTACACCATGGCCTAGCTTCCCTGAATTTTGGATTTCTAGGCCACCACGAAAAATAGGCCACGGTGTACATGGTTGCAAAGATCATGCTTTGAGGGTTCAGAATCAGTTCTCAAAATTCAAATATATCGATTTTGAGTCGGGTTATACCCATTTTAAGTTTGGTGACCTAGAAAACCAAAACTAGGCCATAGTTGTCCAAAATTGATTTTGAAACAAGTTATATCAACTTTTGTCTTGTGGCCTAGAAATCCAAATTTTGGGAAAGTTAGGCCATGGTGTACATGATTTTGAAGTGCATGCTTTCAGAGTTCAAACCCATTTTTTAGATTTCAAAAATATAGATTTGGTGGCCTAGAAAACCAAAACTAGGCCATAGTTGTCCAAAATTAAAATGGCCATAACTTGGCTCAAAATCGATATTTTTGAAATCTGGAAATTGATTTGGAACTTTCACAACTTGACTATTCCAACCATATACAGCATGGCCTAGTTTTTCTGAAATTTGGAGTTCTAGGCCATCAAGCTTAAAATGGTCATAAATTGGCTCGAAATCAATATTTTTGAAATCTGAAAACTGAATCTAAACTCTGAAAACATGATCTTTGCAACCATCCGGTTTTCACTCCTAAAATACCAGCTTTTCTTGCAGTGCTGCCAATTCTGTCACGAATACCACCGCTTCATGTGCTCCCACATGCTGTTCCGCTGCAAAGGCATCATCAAATGCACAATATGCGGTCAACGCTCCTCGGACTCCTCCTCCAACCGTGTACACATGCAACGAACCCACTCCCTATCCCTCCGACGTTTCCAATGTGCCTATTGTCCAAAAGTGTTCATCAGTCTTCAAGAGTACTATGAGCACAAGTGTGGCGTCATTTCTCGAGTCTTCTGGTGTACGTGCATCAGGAAGTACTTTAGAAGCGCCATCGAGTTTTGCGATCATTTCGATTCGGTGCACATTCTGAAGAATCGATGTAAATTGTGCCGATGGGAGGCGAAAACGCAGGAAGAGATGATTTCTCATCGTGTCAGCCATATGAAGGTTGGTACTGTAAGAGAGCCACCGAAGAAGCTGTTCATTCTCGTCAAGAATATAGGACCTAAAGCGGATAGTGGATATATGAGGCACTTCAATGGGAATGCCCCCGCACCGACGTCGTATCAGAAGGTGGATCGAAGTCGGGAATTCTATTTGATGGGTGCTCCAGAAGCCGCGGAGCCACTGTTTGCTGATGCATCGGCGCCAAGGACTCTTTTTGATGCTTTGGAAGGACCAAATGCGGCGTCGAGATCTGTCGGATTGCCATTATCCAGCGCTTCACCGCAGCCAACTCCGAGGACGATTGCGGAAGCGCTTGCTGGGACGATTGCTCAGCAGAGTGCTCAGCGCAACGATTGTGTTATACTCAGTGATGACGACGAAGAGATGCCAGAAATTGTGGATGTACCACCAACAGGAGCAGCAGCCTCACAAGTCAATCGGGAAGGTAAGAGAAATTAGTGGCCTGCAAAGAGCAGGATTTGAGGGTTCAGAATCCATTTTCAAGCTTCGAAAATATCAATTTAGAAGCCAGTTATATCGATTTTAAGGTTGGTGGCCTAGAAACCCAAATTTCGAAAAACCTAGGTCATGCTGTATATTATTTGGAATCTCATCTTTTGCGATATCCAAATCAGTTTTCAGAACTCAAAAATCGTCATTTTGAGCCAAGTTATGACCTCTTCAAATTTTAAGCAATATGGCCTAGTTTTGGATTTCTAGGCCAGCAAACTTGAAACGGTCATAACTCGCTTCAAAACCAACATTTTCGAAATCTGAAAACTGATTCTAAACTCTCAAAACATGCTTTTCGGAACCATGTACACCATGGCCTAGTTTTCTCGGAATTTGGATTTCTAGGCCACCATCAAAAATCGATATAACTCGACCTAGAAAGTACCTATTTTTTCACGTGAAAAATTATTTTGAAAACATCGACAGCGTCCTAGTTGGACGGTCCAACTCAGCCAACACCATCCCATCCATTTTTTTTCTTGAAAATGTCGGCTGCTGAAAAATTCGGCTCCAGCAGAGTGATATTCGCTAAAATTCTAAACAACAAACGTACATCGTCAATTAGCAAAAATGTGACAAGTAATTTTTGGAAAATTATGGGTCAAAATATTGATTTTAAGCCGAGATATAGCTATTTTAAATTGGTGGCCTAGAAAACCAAATTTTGTGAAACCTAGGCCATGCTGTGCATGGTTTCAAACTGCAAGTTTTGAGGGTTCAGAATCCGGTTTCAGATCTTGAAAATGTTGATTTTGAGCCGAGTTATACGCATTTTAAGGTTGGTGGCCTAGGATTCCAAAACTAGGCCACATTCATAACTCGGCTCGAAATCCATATTTTTGAAATCTGAAAACTGGTTCAGGATTCTCTAAAACTTTTTGTTCTACCTATGTGTGCCATGACCGGCTTTCCGGAAGTTTGGGTTTCTAGGCCACCTTCAAAATTCCTAGGCCACCCACAAATAGTTTTTTTCAGTCCGTGTCGAGCGTGCCCACGACGGATACCAACAAGCCAGTCAACACCCAGGCTACGTGGCAGAAGACGACGCTGACGTTGAAGGAGATGCCGTGGAGGAGGCGGAGCCAATTGTGAAACAAGTCGAGGATCCGAACGGAGACGACGAGTTGGCAGTGGTTGCAGAAGTGGAGAAGTGAGTTTTTAAAGATTTTGCAAAGCATCTTCTCGGAGTTCAGAGTCAGTTTTTAGATTTTGAAATTTCGATTTTTAAGCAATTTATGACCGTTTCAAGTTTGGTGGCCTAGAAATCCAAAGTTTGAGAAAACTAGGCCATGTTGTTTATGGCTTTGAAGAGCATGTTTTGAGGGTTCAGAATCCGTTTTTAGATTTCGAAAATGTCGATTTAAAGCCGAGTTATGACTATTTTAGTTTGGTGGCCTAGAAAACCAAAACTAGGCCATTTTGCTCCAAAATTGAAATGATCATAACTTGGCTCAAAATCAATATTTTTAGAATCTAAAAACTGATTCCAGACTCTCAAATCATGCTCTTTAGAACTATCTGCCCTATGACCGAACTTTCCGGAAATTTGGTTCCCTAGGCCACCTAACTAAAATGACTATAACTCACTTCTGAATCAATATTTTTGAAATCTAAAAATTGTTTTGGATACCACGAGAGAAGAGTTTCCAAATGATATAACATGATCTAATTTTTTCAAAATTAGGGTTTATAGGCCATGGTTTCAATTTCCCTATTGTTTCAGTTCCACCGGCACCATTCCATCGAGTATTCAAGCTGGACGTGAGAAGAAATTCAAATGCCCCAAGTGCTCGCTACACTTTTTCACCAAAAACGCTATGGAAAAGCATCAAGAGAGCGATCACAAGCTGGACGCCGGCGCTACAGTATGCTCGGAGACATTCGGTGTCCCAATCAATTTGGTAAAAGGATGGTTGTGTCGAAATTGCTGTGTGCTCTTCGAGGATCCGAGCAAACACCGTCGCCATATGTCAATTCATGGTGATACGTGCCTCACATGCCCTCACTGTAGCTGTATCGCTTTCAATCGCGCTTCGCTGGACAATCACATGAGAGGGCATGCCGAGAAGAAGGTGATGTTCGCGTGTGGAACGTGCCAGGTCAAATACCCGACGGACCTGCTTTTAATGGATCATTTGGTCTCGATGCATAAACAGAAGCTGCTCTATTTCTGTAAAGTTTGTGCTTTTGGGTCGCTGGATGCCAATGCTGTCGTTGATCATATCAAGGAGCATGTTACGCATAATTATGTGAGTTTATCAGTTTTCTTCAAATTTTAAAAATCTCAATTTTGAATCGAGATATGCTCAATTTAAGTTTCGTGGCCTAGAAGTCCGAAAACTAGGCCATGGTATACATTTTGAAAAAGCATGTCTTGATGGTTCAGAATCAGTTTTCAGATTACTAAAATCTTAATTTTGAGCAGAGTTATGCCCATATTAAGGTTGGTGGCCTAGAAATCCAAAACTAGGCCGCCTTCATAACTTGGCTCAGAATCCATATTTTTGAAATCTGGAAACTGATTCTAAACACTGAACCCCTCCTTTCTGGAACCATTCACACCATGGCCTAGTTTTCTTCGAATTTGGTTTTCTAGGCCACCTTCAAAATCGACTCCAATACATTTCAAATTTAATTATCTTCCAGACGACTATCCAACGCTTCGGCGCCATTCCCGTCCAGCTGCTCAACTTCGACCCAACCGACTTGCCGAACTTCAAAGAAGCCGTCCTCAAGAATCTGATACCACTGCACACGCCATCCGACTGCACGCATCGATCGATGTTGACTCAAGCGGACACGCTGGTCTCGTGCACAACGTGTCATTGTTCAGTGAGTTTTTTTGGCATTTTTCTAGTTTTTTAGATCTCAAAAACGACTATTTTGAAGCGAGTTATACCCATTTGAAGATTGGTGGCCTAGAAAACCAAATTTCCAGAAAACTAGGCCATGTTGTTCATGAATCTAGAGAGCATGTCTTGAGGGTTCAGAATCAGTTTTCAGATTTTCAAAATGTCGATTTTGAAGCGAGTTATGGGCGTTTTAGTTTGGTGGCCTAGAAACCCAAAACTCGGCCACATTCATAACTTGGCCCAAAATCAATATTTTTGAAATCTGAAAACTGATTTGTACATCAGAACAGAAGAGCTTTCGAATGATATATAGCATGGCCTTGTTTTTCGAAAAAGTTGGTTTTCTAGGCCTCCCATCTTCAAATAGACAGAAATCGCTTCAAAATCAATATTTTCGATTTTTAAAAAATGTTTTGAATTTCCCAAAACAAGAGCTTTCAAACCAATTTTAGCATGGCCTAATTTTTCCGGAAAGTTGGGTTCCTAGGCCACCGAACTTGAGCTAAACAAGAGCCCTTAAAATAACCTGATTCCAGCAACCCTGGTACAACTACATGGCCAACAACAACTACAGCGAAGAAACGGGCTTCCCAACGTTCGCCATCGAGGCCCTTCCCACTGATCTACGTGGCAAATTTCCGCTCTGCAAACAACTCAACGACTCGAGTCTCAAAGAAATTCTCCACTCATCGAGAAGTGCCGGAATGCCAGTGCTCCAACCGAATTATCCAGTTCAACAGCGATACCAAATGGCACGTCATCAGCAGCAGCAGCAGATTCCACCACCACCACCACACATGAGACATCCAATGGGAGTAATGCCGCATCGAATGGCGCCACAGGCACATACAGCACCAGCATATGCGGCTCGTCAATCAGCGACTCAACAGCGGCTAGCAGTACAGGCCAGAATCCACGGACCACCACCGCCGATTAGCCAGGCTCACCAGCTGGTGACAAGGAACCACGTGGCAGTCAGCACCACCTGTCAAGTCGCCGGGTGTGAAAAGGTGCTCTATTCGCAATTCGATCGGGACCTACACTCGATGCACAAATCAACGGATAAGTGGTTCTGTAGACAGTGTGGAAAGTCGGCGATGACGGAGAGGGAGTTGTTCGCGCACTATATCAAGGATCATTTGACACCGACGCATGCCAAGTCGAGTGAGTTTTTTTGAGCCGAAAATCGACATTTATGTCGCTTTTGAGTTGATGGTCTAGAAAACCCAATCTGGGAAGAACTAGGTCATGTTTCGAGAGCACAGAATCACTTTTCAGATTTAAAAAATATCGATTTTGAGCCGAGATATAACGATTTTAATTTGATGGCCTAGAAATCCAAATTTCGAGGAAAACTAGGCCATGGTATATATGGCTGCAAAAAGCATATTTTGAGAGTTGAAAATCAGTTTTCAGGTTCTAAAAATATCGATTTTGAGTCAAGTTATGAATGTGGCCTAGTTTTGGATTTCTAGGCCACCAAATCAATATTTTTGAAATCTAAAAAATGGGTTTGAACTCTGAAAGCATGCACTTCAAAATCATGTACACCATGGTCTAACTTTCCCAAAATTTGGATTTCTAGGCCACCAGACAAAAGTTGATATAACTTGTTTCAAAATCAACATTTCTGGAATCTGAAAACTGTTCTGAATATCGCACGGAAAGAGCTTTCGAATGATATACCATGGCCTTGCAAGTTTGGTTTTTGCAAGTTTGGATCTCTAGGCCACCAATCTTAAAATTGGTAAAACTGGCTTCTAAACTGATATTTTTAAATTTTGGAAAGTGTTTCTAAACTCTGAAATCATGCTGTTGGGGGTTCTGAAAATCAATATAGTGAAAATTTGTTTTCCAGAAGACAGTGGCTTCAAATCGTGCACCATCCGTCTCCAATGCCCATTCCCAACGTGCCTAGAGCGTTCGGGCATGTTCCAAGCGCCAAAAGCCTTTGAAAAGCACATGCGAATCGCCCACGCAAAGGATTTGGCCTACGAAGCGACGCACTGTGATGCTCGTTTCGTCACCCAGGAGCTCTGCGACGCCCATGATCAGAAGCACGTGGAGAACGATGGATTCGTCGACGCGCAATGCTGTACGATCTGCGGATCGTTGGATATGTGGTCGATGGGACGGGACCTGAAAACGGACTGCCCTCAGTCGCACATAATACGACACGGACTACAGTATCGATCGTCGTGTCGAGAGTGCTTGAAGCAGTTTCAGTTTGATGTTAATGTTAGTCTTAAAATGTCTGAAAATGCGAAAAATCGCTTCAAAAATATCGATTTTGAGCCATGGCCTAGAAACCCAAATTTTGGGAAAACTAAGACCTGCTATATTTCATTTGAAAGCTCTTGTTTTGATACACCAGAAGCACTTTTCAAATTTCACAAATATTGATTTTGAGCCGAGTTATGAGCATTTCAAATTTGGAGCAATATAGCCTAGTTTTGGATTTCTAGGCCACCAAACTTAAAATGGTCATAACTCGGCTCAAAATCGATATATTTGAGTTCTGAAAACTGATTCAACATTCTCACATCATGACCAAACACGTTGTGGCCTAACGTTTGCAAGTTTCGGTTTTCTAGGCAACCAACAATTTTTTTTCTCTTCCAGCAACGCCTCGTCGCCGAACACATTCGCCGCGAGCACGGACGTATCGAGAACGACGGAGCCGTGTCGATTTGCAATCTGTGCGGAGAGATGTCCGACAATTGGGAGACGTTCGTTGAGCACTGTCGTCAGCGACATATTGTGAGTTTTTCTCGAATTTTGTAGTGAGAAATTGGCTCGAAATGACCCCAAAATGACCGAAAAATGAGCATTTTGCAGCGAGCTGAAGATGGTGGCTTAGAAACCCCAATTTGGGAAAAACAAGGCCACGATATGAAATCTCTTCTCTCGTAATATTCAATACAGTTTTCAGATTGGAAAAATATTGATTTTGAGCCGAGTTATGTCCATTTTAGTGTGGTGGCCTAGAAATCCAAAATTAGGCCGCTTTCATAACTCGGCTCAAAATCAATATTTTTGAAATCGGAAAACAGTTTTAGCTTTCCCGCAACCTGTGCTTTCCAACCATATGAAACATGTCCCAGTTTTGTCGAGATTTGGATTTCTAGGCCATCAACTTTAAAATAGTCATAACTCGCTTTCAAATGCATATTTTGGAAATACCCAAACTGATTCTGAACCCTTGAATCATGCTCTTTGAAATCATATGCAACATGGCCTAGTTTTTGGAAAATTTGGTTTTCTAGGCCACCATTTTCAAACTTATATAACTGGATTCTAAATTGACATTTTCAGTTCAACATTCTCGTCAAATCGTCTCTTGCAACACGCGGCGAGTTCGTCGTCACCGCCGGCGAAGAATACGAGAACTTCACGGGACTCCAGTGCACAAAAATGGAGCAACAACGGCAGCGTGCCGCTCGTCAGACCCATGGGAAGTCAGAAGCGCCGTCAACGTCTTCTGCAGCAGCTAGTGTAACGGCAACCACAGAGAATGGTGGTAATACTGCTCTATTGACAATCGCCGCGGCTATTGGAGAGCCGGAAGCTGCTCCACCAGCGTCTCGTCCACCTCCAGAAGTCTACACTATCGACTCGGATTAATTATTCTAGAATATTCTTTTTTTTTTCTAATTAATTTTAATTTCTCTCAATTGTCCCCCATCCCCATCAATTACTGGTATTATTCGGCTTTTCCCTTATTTTAAATTTCAAAAATTCTTTTTTGTCGAAAGTTTTTTCTCGCGGGTAAATTCTTTTATTGCTGCTGAAACTGATCATTTTTCTGTGAAACCCTTATCAGAAGGGCTCCTTAGGAAAAGACTTGAACTTTAAAAAAAGGCCCTGTAATAGGAGACTTTGTTGCTCGATTTATTTGAAATTAATTGATTTTCATGAATATTGAACGACAGTTCACAGATTTTTTGAATGTGAATTTTCGGAAAAAATGGCCGGAAAGCAAAAGAAGATCCTCTCTAATTGGAAGGCTCCTTTAATAGAAGGGCCCTCCGGAGGTACCTTTAAAGAATAGAAGGGTCTGCCCTTCTGGTACAGGTCTTGAGACGTTTTTTTTACAGGGCTGAAAATCGTCACAGGAAGTTTTAAAGGTGGTGTACGGTGAACTTTTTTATTGCATCAAAATGTGCAGAAATGCATGTAGATTGACATAAAAATAAAGAAAAAATTCAAAAAAAATTCCTTCATCGAAAAATACGCTGAAAGCCCTTAGGGACGAGGTTTTTCTAGGCCGCCCGGTGAATAAAAGCGCGCGAATTCAAACTTTTAAAATTTTTTCGCTCGTTTTCACTGTTTTGTTCAAATTTTCCGATGTATCTGGAAGAAAAATTGACAAAAAGGTCTTTAGAGAAAAATTGGAATACTGTATAGGAAAGTGTTGAAATAGTCTGAAAACATCATACGGTTACATTTTACACAGACATTGATTCTTCTATTCAAGTTTTCGAAAAAAAAAATTCAGACATTTTCGCCATTTTCAGGATTTGACCAATGAAAACTGACCAAAGTAAACCCCTCTTTGCGCGTAGGCTAGAGACGCAGTGGGCCTCGTTTCTCTGCGTCTCTAACCTCAAAAAGGTATTCAGGTATTTAGGTATTCAGAAATTAACTAGTTTGACCTTATTTTGAGAGTATCAGCTGGATATATTATTTTAGTTAAAATCAGCTCGTCGAGATCTTCAAAATGAGTTTAAACATGACAGATTTTTGAAAAAAAAAGTTTTGGGATTTTTTCTTCGAACGCATTTATTCAAAACATGTCATGTTTAGACTCATTTTGAAGCTCTATTTCAGCTGAATTCAAAAATCACATTTTGTCGTGTGTAGCTTCAAAACTAACCCCTCTTTGCACGCTGGTATACTAGAGACGCAGTGCTTCTCTGCGTCTCTTACCTCGAAAAAGGGTGAGGAACTGTTTTGGAGATTTTTGGAAGTATTTTTCACTATTGTTTTTCTATCTAACGCTCTCAATTACGTCAATCTGTGGGAGTTATTGTTTATCATGACATGTTTGAATATTTCTAATTTCCTTTTTTGCAATTTTCCTCTTTCCCATCTTCCCCAAACTTTCAGCAATGAACGAGGACGAGCTTGTTGACATTTGTACATTCTTAAAATGCGATCCTTCAAATCCCCTAGACCCAAATTCCGAATCAAACGGACCTTGCTACTTTCCAAATCCGTGTAGCTCGGAGCCCTACACGGGACCACCGTTTCCAAGAGAGAAAGTTCTAGAAGAGCTGAAAACGAGGAGTCTGGAAGGGTATATTGAGCACTGCCTGCTCTCTGGAGATCAACAAATGTTGGTGATCATGAAAAATGTGCAATCGATTTTGGAGAAAACTGGAAATGAGCAACAACGAGCCGTGTTTGGGGACCAGGCGGAAGTGGCAACGAATATTGCGGAGCATTGTTGGCCCCATTTCGAGAGCATCAGTGAGTATGAATATTTTTGTCAGATTCAGCTGAAAAAGAGCTTTAAAATGAGCCTAAACATTAGTAATTTTGACAAAATAATTTTTGGGATTTTTTCAAAAAAAAATTTTATGAAAATTGTTTGGCACTATTGGAGCCTAGGTTTGGAACCGCGGTAATCAATGATATTCCATGTGTAGTTGGGACCCAGACAGAATTGGGCGTGGCTTGTGGATTTCAGTATAAATAATTTCGTTTTTTGGTCTGTTTGTGCATCTGTTTGTAAGAATAAAAAGTGATTTTTGTGGAAAAATTTGATACATTTTAAAAATAAATTTTTGAATATTTTTTTTGAAAACATTTCGAGTCTAGTTTGCTCAAAAAAAAAACACAAAGTTCAAAATGTTATGTCTAGATTTTTTTTTGCCGGAGAAAAATGAAAACACTTGAGACGTTTTTTTTCCCAATTTTCTTCTTTTTTCCGGGAAGTTTCCATATTTTCAGGACTATTACTCTTGACTTTTTAGTTTCTTTTTTTCTTTTTTTTTCTCATTTCTTCAGCAAAATTCCAAAATTTCAAATATCCAAACTAAACATCTTTTTTTTCAATTTTCAGAAACTTTTCAAAATTTCAGGACAGGTTTTGAACAATTTTGATTCTCAAAGTGGACTTTCTGAGCTTTCAGAGTTCTGAACTTTCTCAATTAAATTGTTTTCCAAAAATCTGAAACTCAAGACTGTTTGACTGTATCACCAACTGATGAAAAAGGGATTAGAAACGATGTCGTTTGTGAAATGAAGTTCAATTATATGGTGGGCGTGGCTTGTGGATATCAACTTGAATAATTTTGTTATTCTTAACATTGCATCTGTTTGTGTCTTTTTGTCCATATGTCAGAGTTCAACTTGAAACTGTATTTGGTGTTTTACTCAAATTTTAAATTCTGAAGTTTTCCAGATTTCCCAGAGAGATTCCAGAGAGATCTGCATTTTTTCTGGAATTTCGAAATTCGAGAAGTTTTGAAACATTTTTCATCTCAAGTATCTCTACGTACTAAGTCTAGACATAAAACTTTTATTTTCCTTTCTTTTTTTTCTAAGTTTCTTCTTTTCTTCTTTTTTCCTCCCAATTCTTTTTTCAAATATCCAAACTAAACATCTTTTTTTCAATTTTCAGAAACTTTTCAAAATTTCAGGACCATCATGATCTCCAAAATTTTGCTGATTTTCCTGATATTCATATTTCTAAACCCTCAAATTAATTGCGCCGGTAATTAACTCCAAAATTTTCATTTTTCGACAAATTGTCCAATTTTCAGAAGTCCTAAAAATGCTGAAAATCTTTGGAAAAGTCCTGGATTTTGATTTAATCGAGGGGAAATTCGATGAAAATTGTACGCAGACATGTTTTTCGGATTCTGATTGTATTTTGGCATTTTTCAATCAAAATTCGAATTATCAATTATTTTTTTACAATTCGACGGAAACTTTGAAAGTCGAGGAAACCAATCGAGACGATGGATTCTTTGTGTCTTTTAAGGTAATTTTTGAAATTCGAAAAAAGCGAAAATCTATATTTAATTCTGTGTAATTTTCAGATTTTTGAGCTGAAATTCAAAAAGTTATGAAAGTTGAAAATTCAGAAAATACGGAGATCTAGCTTTAATTTGATGTTATTTTTATGAAGTTTGAGCAAAAACTAAGAAAGTTATGATCGAAAAAAGGAATTTTCAGACAAAAATCACAACCTCAGATCCAGATTTCTGCCCAATTGAATCTGAAATTTCTCCCCAAATCTTCCTAGGAGAGGATCCAATTTCATGGACCAAGACCTCCGATTCCACGTGGCAATTCAATAAATGTGTGGGAAATTGGAAAATGTTCAAAAGAACAGATCCAGATATTACTGTATGTATGCAGGTGTTCTTTATAAAAAAAGGAACAACTCAAAAGGAGGCAGAGGATTACTGTAGTTCAATGGGATATAAAGTAACTGGTGTGGCAAGTGTAAACGAGACTAAGTGGATTTTTGGTGAGTTATTCTTTTGTTTTTTGAAAAAAAAAATAACAATTTCTTAAAAAATTTAATTTAAATTTCTAGACAACGCTGGGAAATGGCTCCCACAATGGGATTACTATCAAGGAGTCTGGATAGATGGAGAAAGAAAAACTCCAGGAATGAATGTAAGCGGATTACTGTAGTTTTTGAGTTCTCAAAATTTTCCTGAATTTTCTGAATTTCACATGGACCGATGGATATACAGTAGGATATGGAGCATTTGATGCCAATAACGCTATGATTTCTTTTCACAACGAGTAAATTTTATTGGAATTTTTAAAATGATATTCTGAATTGTCAATTTTTCAAAAATTTAGGATTTTTCAAATTATTGGAACATGTTGAATCCTTCAAAAAAAAAATTCAAAAACTAATTTTTTTACAGAATCAAGCCGTCCGAGCTGGAAAACTGTTTGGTGGTGTCTAGAACTTATCATCAAACAGCTATTATCAATGATGTCGCTTGTGGAAAAGGGTCTGGAGCTGATTTGGGTGTGGCTTGTGGATATAGACTTGAATAATTTTGGGAATTTTGTCTGTATGTGTGTCTGTTTGTCCGAATAAAATTCTTTCTTGTTTCTTGAGCAAACTTAGAGAAGAAGAACGAATTGAACAACTTGTTAAACATTGCCGTTTTGCAGTTTCAAATGTACCGTAAACAGTATAATAGAACGCCCCCCGAATCGTCAAATTTGTGCTCATGTACCGTAAAACCTCTAATAGAACGACACCCGGATCGTCCACTTTGAGCCTATATATCTCACTTCTTCTGAAAGATATCAAAAAGTGGTTAACTAGTGAAGTGTTTATCAGGATATCAGCAACATTTTACTAGTTAGCCACTTTTTGATATCTTCCAAGAGAAGTGAGATATATAGGCTCAAAAGTAAAAGCTCTACGGTAAATCAAATCTTGAAATTTCCGGGTGTCAAAAACGATCAAAAACGATCCGGGTGTCGTTCTATTAGAGGTTTTACGGTATCTCATTTTCTGTGAGAGATATCAAAAAGTGGTTAATTGGTAAAATGTTGCTGATATTATGATAAACATTTATCAGACAACTTTTTGATATCTTCCAAGAGAAGTGAGATATATAGGCTCAAAGTTAGACGGTCCGGGTGGCGTTCTATTAGAGTGTTTACGGTAAATCAAATCTTGAAATTTGGGGACGAATCTTCTGTTTTTCAAATTCAAAGAGAACACAGCTATTTGGGAATTTTGTGATTCCTTGTAAACTCAGAAATGTTGGCGTTACATAAAAAATTTCAAAAATTCAGAAATCACTATAACTACGTAAAATCATAGAATCGAATCGTTTGAAATCTATGCAATTCGAGAACCCAATTTTCAAACAAAAAAGATAACATTTATTAGGGCAAACAGATACACAAAAGGACAAAAAATTATTCAAGTTTATATCCGCAAACCACGCCGTGTTGAATTCCGGCTCCATATTCACAGTCGACGTCGTGTAGGATTTCTTGGCTTGGAACGGTTGATACGACCAAACAATCTTGTATCAAACCCCTAAAAGTTATAAAAGGGTGTTTTATAATTTTTGGAAAAAACTTTTCTGACTCACTCATGATCTACTCCAGAAATACGCGCCCACTTCTTTTCAAATGCTTTGTACCCTTTTGTATATCCATCGGACCATGTATAAATCTGAAAATGTGGAACATTTTCAGAACTACAGTAATCCACTCACATTTATTCCTGGAGTTTCCCGTTTTCCATCTATCCAAACTCCTTGCCAATCCGGTAGTGTCGTCGGAGCTTTCTCCTGCGTTTGTTCTGAAATTTTTTTTCTATACGATGCTTCTGTCAGCCCAAGACCTCCGATGAAGCGTTACTACATTCGAAAAAACCCAAAAAACAATCAGGAACTCATTTTATACAGCTGATAATGGCTTTTCGGAAAATCTGTAAATTATTATGTTTTATGTTTTTAACCTACATTTATGATTCATTTGAGAAGTTTAATAATTCATTTTTTTTGAAATTTGTGCATCTCGCAAATGTCACTGCAGCTTTCAAAACTTTAAAATATCAATTAAGAAACCAGATATGACCACTTGAAGATTGGTGGCCTAGAAAACCAACATTTCAGAAAACTAGGTCATAATATATATGGTTAGTTTCAGATTTCAAAAATCTTCCATTTGAGCCAAGTTATGATCATTTCAAATTTGAAACAGTGTGGCCTAGTTTTGAATTTTTTCTTTTGACTCTGGTTCTGCGAGTTTATATACCATAGGGTGGGCGTGGGCAGGTGTTCGTGGCCAGGTGAGCAGGTTTGATCGAGACTCACTTCAGTAGGAACATGTATGAAAATAACCATTCACTGTTTATTCAAAATCAATAAAAACAATTTTCATAGGAATTAAAGGATGAGATTTCAAAAAATTCATAAATTAGAAAAAAAAATATACAAGGAGACTTGGGAGCTAACAATAGATTCCATATTTTTAACCAAAAAAGAAGAAATCTTTCTCAAACGGGGTGAGCAGCTTTCAATAAAGCAATTACTACATCAAACCAATCAGATCAACCGATGCAAGTCTGGTTCTTCTCGGATTGTTGAATTGCCAGATGTTCTCTAAGCAGCGATACTGCATCTCTTCCTTTTTTTTCAGAAAAACCTGACGAAGGCGTTCCCAAAACAGAAAAGTTTGATGCTATTTAGACAATCAATCACCATCCACGATTCTCCATCTTCAATAGGGTTACGGTGTTCCGATGCAAAGATCGAGAAAGATTTGATCTACACCATCTTGCTGCTGGAAGACGTGGATCGCACGAAGCGCAAGTTCAACCACTTTTCCGAACTTGGCAATGAACTGCTGCTGCCAGGAAGGTGGAGCCGAATCTTCCGTTTTCACGTAGTCTTTTGGATTCTGAAATTTCAAACGATCAAGAATGATAGTTGAGATCTGTTCTGAGAGAGTTTANCGGGGGAAGTATAAATATAGCTATGTACTTAAAAACCTGAAAAAAACACTTCAAGGACGAAAAAATGCTATTTTTTGTCACCCTAATTTCTTCACTAGCTTGCTGCTGCGGCGTCGCTTCATAATGTGAAAAACGCGATGGTCGCCTCTTATACGC